AGTACATCAATTGCTTCTCTGTAGGGTACATGCACTTATTCTCATTTCTTTTTGTATATTTCTTTTCTTTCCATGGGTGTACTTATTGACTTGCAGTCACCCATATTGAATTTGTGTAGGATCCTTTCAATATACTGTAGTTAGTTTGTTTCAATATAATTTTGTCAGTTTTGATGTGTATTCAATTCCTAGAAAATGCTCAAGTGTTTCTTCTACTATTTCAAATTCTGACTTCAATTCCTCTAGAAGATTCCGTACTTCCTCTGCATCTTTACCTGCAATTAATCCATCATCCACATACAGTACTAACATAGTTAAGACCTTTTTGTTCTTTTGATATACAAACAAGGGTCTGTTTGACTTAACCTATATCCTTTTTTAATTAGAAAGGTCTGTACTTGTTCATTCTAACATTGAAGTACTTGTTTTAGACCATATAAACTCTTGTTTAGTTTACAAACTCTCCCAGTTCCATCATCAAAGCCTTCTGGTTGAGTCATGTAAATTTCTTCCTTCAGATCTCCATGCAAGAAGACTGTTTTCACATGAAACTTCTTAACAAGAGGTCCTGATTTATTGCTATTGAGAGTACAGTTCTGATTGTCTCAATCCTTGCCACTGGTGAGAATGTTTCCTTACAGTCTACACCTCCCACATGATCAGAATCGACACAGAAGCGCTCACCAGGGTCAACAAGTGACCATCAACCCATACAAGGATGCCCAGGATCGGAAGCCTGAGACCGAAGGACATTACGTTGTTGGACTAAGAAAACCAATCAGCATGATTTAAAAGATTTTCAATTTATCTTCATAGAGCTACCAAAGTTTCACCTTGTTTCTGTGTGTATCCCTTGGCCACTAGTCAAGCTTTATATCTCAGTTGAGCCATCTGGTTTTCTTTTAATTTTAAAAATCATTTACTATCAATAATTTTCCTGTCTATTGGTAAAGTCACTAATTTCCAGGTCTTGTTCTTTATTAGAGCACAGAATTCTTCTTTCATTGCTGCTAACCAATGTTGTCTTCTTTCATTTGATTGTACTGCTTCAAACACAGTGAGTGATTCTGCAATCTCAGCTATGTTTGCACTTGGCAGCTCATGTAATTGAAATGGTTTTACACTCTTTAAAGTTTCTCTATTTTGCTTTGTAGTCTTCCTTGTCATTTGTTGCATTTTCTTTTTCTAGTTGCATTTGTTCAGTTTCTTCACTAGTATAACAAGAGTGATTATTTCACTTTTATCCACATCCATTTTCAGTTGTGTTGTTGCTGTTAGTTCCTTGTCAAAGACAACATTTCTGAAGATTCCAACCTTTCCTCCAACCAAAACTCTGTATCCTTTTATATTTTGATCATACTCTACAAAGATTCCTTCCTTGCTCTTTGGGTCTAGTTTTTGTCTTCTAGCTTCAGGAACATGTATGAAACATTTGAAACCAAATACACGCAAATGATCAGTATGGATTCTCTTTCCTGTTAATATTTCAATTGAGGTTCTGTCTGTGGCATTGCTTTTTCCTGTCAAATTGATGACATGAACTGCTGTATGTATTGCTTAAGCCCACATGTTTTTGTCAAGTCCTCTTGCATACAGCAAGAATCTTGCTAGCTCAACTACTGTTTTATTATCTCTTTCTATTTTTCCATTTTGTTCAGGAGAATATCCTACTGTTGTCTGATGACAGATGCCCTTACACACTAAATAATTGGACAATTTTTGATTCACAAACTCACGTCCTCTATCAGTATAAATAGCTTTCACTGTTTTTCCTGTTTGATTCTCTATATATGCTATGAAGTTCTTTACTTGGTCAGGTGCTGCTTCTTTTGCTTTTAGTGTTTTTACAGTGCGAAAATTTGAGAAATCATCTCTGAACAGGATGTAGTATTTGGAGCCACCTATAGAACTAATTTCCATTGGTCCTCCCAATATCCACATGAATTAATTCTCCTATTTCTTGAGTGCCAGTTTCACTTTTGCTAAAAGGCAACCTATGAGCTTTTCCCATCATACAGCCTTTACAGATATTATCTTCCATTTATTAGTCACCTCAATTTCCATTCGCTTTAATATATCTTTTACATATCTTTTCTTCTGATGTGCCAGTCTTTCATGCCACACTTACAAGGGGTCAATGGCATTCACTACATGTACTTTTCCCTCTTGGGTTACTACTGCATGTGGTAGTCCTCCAACTTTTAAACCTTTAGCCACAATTTGTCTGTTTCTTTTAAAAGAAATTTTTCATCATCAGACTCATAAGTGAGTCCTTTCTCAACTAATGTTGTGATAGAACTCTCTATCACAACATTAGTTGAGAAAGGACTCATTTCGCCCACATTTGGGTACATGAAAAACTTGTTAGCTCTACACTTTTATATGCACATCTGCTGAGAGAAAACTTCACAGCTATGGAACCTTCTCCAATAGCCAGCATCTCAGAATCATTTCCCACTTTTATCACTACAAGAGAGGTGTTTTGTTTGTATTCTTTGAACTATTCTTTCCTGTTCGTCATATGATCAGTAGCTGCACTATCAGCAATCCATATATCTAGTTTGATTTGCATTTGATTTCTTCCAGTGACTCATGCTTCAGTTTCTTTTTGGCAATGTGTCCTTTCATTCCACAGATTCTGCAGATAGTAAAACATTGATTTTGTTTTGGATGCGATAAGCCAGGACACAAACTATACCAGTTGTTCTTCCTCTGTTCCCTTTTGAGTTTTCCAGTTCCCTTTTTACTGTATCTGCTGTTACATTGTAGAGCCTCAGCCTGTCCATTGTCTTTCTCAATCTCTCCCTGTTTAAGCCTGAACTCTTCCAGTTTTAATCGTGCCATCAGAGTCTCAAGATTTCTTCTGTTCTCATTCATAGATTCCTATGCTGTCACAAAGTGTTTATATTCTGGGGGAAAGACTGATTATTTTGCATACCACTGAATCATCATCTTCAGTTTTGTCAAAGATTCTCAGTTTTTCTCTTATTCCTTCTAATCTAGAAAACATAGATGTTATAGATTTGCCATCTTCATATTTAAACAAGTGATATTCCTTTAGTGCAATTTCCTTTGACAGATATGACTTTTCCTCATACATGATAAGTAGTTTGTTCCACATTTCAATTATGTCTTACAATTTCTTATTGCTGAAAGTGCCTCTCCTGTTACTGTACTGCCTATCACCAATTTGGCAGTTTTTTCTGCTCTGAACCAGAGCAACAACTCTTTCTTATATTTTTCTTTCTCTGTTGTACTAACATTGTTTTCCAGGGTGTTCTGGCTTTTTATGCATTTCAGTTACAACTTCCCAGCAATCCTTGCTGTCTAGTAATATTTTAACTTGAAACTTCCAGTTTTCCAAGATATTTTTCATAAATTTTTCTATACCTATATTCATTGTTTCCATCTCCAAGTATTTAGCAATTAATTTTGAATGAGCTAGAGAAACAAAGAAGCTGACTTATACAAGGTAATAGCAGCTTTTCATTGAGTCTAGTCTGGCACAATGAAATGGTGACTCGGTTGTTCTTGACAAATCTGACGACTTCTGTATCGAATCTTTAGACACAACTACGCTCTGCTACCATGTTAATGTTTTGCCATGTTTCTTATAAAGACACTTTCAGTTTCAATCCAACAACATTTACTTGTAATTTATTAAAATAAAAAAATATATGGAGACTTGGCTCTGCTTAACGTACACCTCTAGTCTCTTAACTCTGGCGCCAACTGACCACAATGCCCCCTTTCATTCTCTCTGGTTTTTACTTACTAAATTAAATACTCCCAAAAATTTTCCACAGTTAAAAATCATATGGTAAATCAAGTGCAGGGACCAATTTGGTCAATTGGTCCAAGTGACCTTTGACCAATATTTCCCTGACTGAAAATCATATCTTATACTTGCCCTGCAGTATATGCTTTTCAATAAACTCAATGCAAAATAATACAGAATATGAACTTTGGGTAGACCACTATGATTCACATATGACCTATGGCTGAGCATTTGCAAGGATTGAAAATACAATACCCATGATCTCTACAGGTTTAGGTTAGACAAATGAAGTAATGCTTAGTGCATCCAAACACCACTTCATTTGCCTTGTGTTCACAATGCCCATGATTCCAAGAGCTATAAGAATTCCCACCTTATGTAAAAGCTATCTTGCAAGTAATTTACAAATAGCAGAAACAACAAAATATGAATTTAAATATGAATTTTAATTAAGATATGTTTTTTGGAAAATTTTTTACTGTTTTTGCCCCTTTGCCTCTGGAGGTGCAAGGATCCCTTAGGTCTCCAAGTGTACCATCAAGCTCCTGGTATTTACCACACTGAATTATCAAATAAGTGAATGAAATCATCAAAATTAAAACATTTGGATGCCCAAAATCACAAATACTCAAATAAACCAATAGATTTTAACCAGTAGAATACTCATTTTCTTATTTATGTTCTGCCAAAAACAGCATAAAATGCACTCTATACATTTTATGAAGTTTCAGAACTGATAGCTAAGACAGAGTATTTGTATAGTATTGGGAAAGTTTAATATGCTATACAATGAACATTGTAATATCTTGATTTTATAGAAAAAGGAAGTGTTCACTAGCTGCAATACAGTTAAAGACAGAATTGAGAATATGGGAAAGAATAGAAGAAATTTTTGTTTCTAGGATACAGAATATTCAGTTTTTTTCATTACAAGTGGATGAGAGCATAGACATTGCAGATAACTCTAATTTGATGTGCTTTGTAACATATGTTGTCAAAGCACATCAAAGAACAGCAGTTAAAATCATTCAGAAGCTTAAAAATTTTTTCATCATTCATAAAGTTTACCTTCTCAAAAGCAAATTGTGAAAACAATAATATATGAAATTACTAGAATTATATAATAATTTTTATTTTGAAGACTTGAAAAATTTTATGTAAGAAATACAAAAAATGTATAAATTAAAAAAAGAAATTTATTATTATTTATTTAAAATATTACCTATCATAATCTTGAATAACATTCCCAACAGCCCAAATAGCTTTCATGTAGTCATTTGGTTGATTACTTATATAATGAAGTGAACCAGGATCTGCAGGATTTCCATTTGATCCAGTGAAATCAATTGCTACCTAAAAATAAAAATACGGCAAAAATAATTAAAATGTTTTAAAAATAAATAATAATAATAATAATGAGTTAATATTTTTTCATATGGTTCCTTAAAAGCATAAAATAACAATTTACATTTTCAAATAATATATAAAAATGGATAGAGAAAAATTTTTGGGTGTAAAAACACATTAATTAAATTTTTAAATGAACTTTATAATATGTAAAATCTTATAAAAATATGTTAAACTGATTTTATTACATCTTACATTTATGTAGAAATTTAATTTAATTTAATTTAATATTATATTTAATTTAAATATAATATTAAGGAATAAACAATCAAATTAAAAATTGAACACTATACAGTACTATTACAACTTTTTACTATGCATATCAAACAAATATAAATTTATCAGTTAGTAATACTTTTATACTTTACTTTTTATACCTTCATTGACAAAGTTTGTTTTATAATTCAATGTTAATTTTAATTTTTTATAAAACAGTAGAATAATAAAATACATTATAATACTGAGTATAAGCATTATTTCATATAACAAGTAATGTTTCATTTTTTTTAAACAGATAAAATATAACTGAAAAAATAATTCAAATCAGAAACTTAGAATTGAATAAAAATAAAGAAAAAATTTAGTCTTATAATACATAGCACTGAATAATAAAAAAATAATAAATTAAATAAAAACAAATTAATTTACTAAAAACTTAAAATACATTATATGTGGGAATTTCTCAGTTAATGTCACTTAATTGGATAGTGGTGGCGCTGTCTTCAAAGAGATAAGAAATGGAATTTTTCTGCTCCTGCATTTTTAAAGTTTTTTTTTATAATTCTTATTATTTGTTATAAGTGTTATACATTTTTTGAAAGCGTTATTTATAACGAACAAGAATATGTTAAGTTTGTACAATTTGGATACTCCTCTCTGAAATTACACGTTTTTGAAACTTCCGGTTATTCGGGCTTGATTTTCCGGACTATCTCAACCGTTCAACCGGAACCTGATCTAGTGGCTTACTCGCACTACTTAAGTGAGTACATGTTTCAAATTTTGGGGTTCCAGGCCCGGTATTTAAGGAGTTATTAACCACTTCCTGTTATTTTTCGGCAAGCCGTAACTCGTTTCCGGTGGGCTATATCCGAATAATTTCCAGTCGCTTCTTAGAAGACATCAAATGTGAATTTATCCCAAAATTTCACAAGTATAGCTTTAATAGTTTTTAAATTATTGATGTTCTATGAAATCTTTAATTTTCAACATTGACCTCTACTACTAGAATTTTCTAGAACATTTCACGGAAGTTGTATTTTCTCTGTTTCTATTAATAATTTCCTATACATATCATTTATTTCTAGATTCGTCTGGAGTAGAGGAAGACGTTGCACATAATTATAAGCTAACAAAATTAATATATTAGACGATATTAATATTTTAAGATAAAATTTATTATTTTCTTCAGTATGGAATCTGAAATACAAATATTCCATGATACTGCTTATGGTATTTATGACGAGATTAAGAGATATTCCCTGCAAAATCGAAATGCTAAATTTGGGGTAGAGTGTCATTTAACATATATATTGACACAATTCACCAGAATTATAGAATTAGCAGAATCTACTCTTAAGAATAATAATTTAGTTGAACGAACACTTTCAAAGTTAGTTACTAAAGAGGATTTGCAAGACTTTAAAGATGCTCAATTTGATGAATCTAAAGAAATTCTAATGGATATTCAATCCGCAGTACATAACCAAAGGAAAACTACTTCTGACAGTGTTGCTGGCGAAAAAGTTCCTAGCACCCTTAGTTATAGAGATACCCTACTAAAAGGAATAAAACCAACCTTACCTGCAAATGAACCACCTCCACCAGAATACACAGTTTTGGTATATAGTGATAAAGTCGGTGCCACTTGTGATGAAACTAAACGTAATCTAACTAATAACGTGCAACCTGATAAACTTGGCATAGGGATACGTAGAATAAGGAAGATTAGGAATGGAGGACTTGCAATTGATTTAAGCCATAAGAATGAGGTAGGCTATTTTAAAGAGAATGTTGAACAAGTTCCTGGCTTGGTTTCCAGACTGCCGAAAAAGCGACTTCCACTAATCAAAATTGCTTCCGTTCCTAAAGGTATCAATAAAGACGATCTCATATTAGATATCTTTGAGCAAAACGTGTACCTTCTAGAAACTTTTACTGATCGCACTTTTGCTGAACATGCTACTATTAGATTTCCGCTTAAAGAAAAGAATGAAAATTATCTTTCATGGATTCTAGAGGTATCTCCACAGGTTAGGGAGAAATTAGTAAAGGCAGGGAAAATTCATCTTCTTTGGTCGACGTGTCAAGTTTTTGACTTTTTTCCTATTACTCAATGTTATCGTTGCTTATCTTTTGGTCACATAGCAAAAAATTGTACCTCAACAGACAATGTGTGTAGTCATTGTAATGAGAATCATCTATATAAAAACTGCCAGAACAAACATAATTCACCAAAGTGTGCCAATTGTTTACGAGAAAACAGAGCACATAACTGTCATAATACAATGGATAAAACTTGTCCAGTATATCTTAAGGAAAAAACCAAATTCCAACAAAGGATTAATTATCATATATAGATATTTGCATAGACTACTTCACGTCTTTATACAGTACATCGTCAAGTATACTGTTGTATTCTGCATACTTTGATTTATTTATAATCGTCTGTTTTTTTTTTTTCTAAAAATCAAAGGACACATTACTCAACGTTAGTGTTGGCCTCAACTTTGGAGAGTTGCTGATTTCTGTGTATTTTTATTGTGATTTGTGGACACGTGTTTCATGACTATGATAAAATTTGTTTACTCTTCTCTAATAATAGCAACTCACCGAGTATGTATGTAGTTGTATAGTAGTATATAGTTATTAATAGTTAAGCCAACTTTGTTTTCTTACATATTGCTTTTTACATTTATGATATTGATATATCCTATGTATTTATTTCCTGTTATGTTATGTTAACAGTTATATATAATATGTATTTATAGTTTAGTATTTTATTGTATGTATATAGTTGTATATAGTATATATTTTAATTTATTTTATTTCTTCATCATTAGTCTATTGTGTATAACATGTACTTCTGAGCATTGCTATTGTATTGAGTTTAGCCGGTAATGCTTTCTGCGGGGCCGGCCTGTATATATATTTATTTATATGTACAATAAATAATGAATGAATGAAGTTAATGTCACTTCATTCAGTGCAACATTATAATGTACTTTATAATATGAACTAGAAGATTACTTAATGCAGTGCAATTCATTGTAATACAGTAATTGCCTATCTAATACATGTAGGTTACAACTGTACTACGTTTAACAGAATTTGTGGTAGAATAAAATCCAAAAGTTCAGGAACTTGACATATAGTTATCTTCCTTGAATAGTTTAAAAAGCAATGTACAACCTTTCAAACTAATCATCTTGGACAACAAGACACTTTTTCCAGCATCCATACAGCATCTTTTGCAACCACCCATAATACCTCTTGTAATGTTGCTTTTACCTCATTTGATGACTGAAAACAACACCCCTGCAGATGTTGTTTCATCAGTATAAAGAGGTAAAAATCAAAAGGTACTAAGTCCAGTGAACAGGTAGGAGGTGAAAGCACATTAGTACCATTTTTGGCAAGAAATTTTGTAACCATTAGAGACTAATGTGTAGACATGTTGTCATGAAGAAGGTACTATTATCTACTTTGCCATATCACAGGTTGTTTATGACAGATGGACTCACACAAACAATATAAAATATCCAGATATGTGGCAAAGTGAACAATGGTATCTTTTCCATGACAATGCACCTGCATATCAGTCCATAATGGTCACAAAGTATTTTACCAGAAATGATAATGTGCTTCCACATTCTGCCTATTCACCCAACTTAACCCCTTGTGATTTTTACTTCTTTGCACTGGTAAAACATCTGCAGAGACATCAAACAAGATAAGAGCAGCATTGCAAGAGGCATTACAGGTAGTTACAAAAGATGGCTTATGGCAACGCTTCCAGAAGTTGTACGAATGCTGGAAAAAGTGTATCATTGTCCAAGAGGATTAGTTTGAAAATGATTTTGTGTTGTTTTTTAAACTATTCAAGGCAAGGAAATATATGTTATGTTCCAAAACTCTTGGACCCTATCATATATGACTATACTTTTAAAAATTAACTTTAATAGAAAAAAATGACATAAATATAAGCAAATAGTAAAAAATAGATTAACACCATCTAAAATCTACTTTTAACTTATGCAATTTTTTTATTAAAATAGTATTTCTAAAAGGATATAAATTTGTTGTAATAATTTTTATATTATTCTATTAAACAGTGTATATTGTATGCTTTTTAGAAATAAAGTTTTAATATTAAAATTCTTTTGCATAATAACATTTTCCAGTTTTATTAAATTAATTATTACAAACACAAAAAGGTCTAAATTAAAATTTAATTGTCTGATATTCACATAATATTCAAAATACATGTTTCAGTCAAGAATTCAATGTAAATTTTTGTAAAAACTGTCAACAAGTTTTCTTGAATTTTGTTAAAAAAATATACCTTATTTTCACAGAATGACTTGGTGCCAGTTAAACTGCAACTAACATAAAATCAATCAGATTAAATAAGCAACTAGTTTTGTTAGGTGTTTAATAAAATAACAACATTGTAATTTGACTGACTTAAAATCAGGAAGAGAGTTTTTGTTTACAAGACAATAAAACAATTAACAACTTATTGACATTAGTAGTAGTAGTAGTAGTAGTTAGTCAGTCAGTGTGAGCTACACTGACCATCTACCCCAACTTTAAAAATAGCACCTTCCTCTCAAATTTCATACAAAGCCAATGTTAATTGGTGTAAGCTGAGATAAATTACAGGAGTTTTTTAAATTTAATATGTTTATTTTTGATACACGACAAACCCTGAGGTTCAATGGCAAGGATTGAAATCAGCAATTCTCAATGCAGCTGAAAAAAACAATCGGATATAAAAATCCAGAAAAGAATAAGCCATGGATGACAAATGAAATCTTACAGCTCATGGATAAAAGAAAGAAGCATAAAAATAAAAGTCATCAAATGTATACAAATATACATAGACAAATACAGAAAGAAATTGTAAGAGCAAAAGAAAACGGGCTAAAATTAAAATGCAAAGAAATGGACTTACTGGAGAGAGACCATAACTCCAAAGAACTACATAAAAAGATAGTGGAAATTTTCCTGTTAGTTCCCCAAAGAACAGGATGTGTGGAAAAAAAAAGATGACAAATAACAACAGACATGGAAGAAATGAAAAAATCATGGGAGGAATATATTCGAACACTTTATTAAGACCAAAGATACTTCGAAGAACCTGAGACAGATGAAGAAGGCCCAGACATCATGGAAGAAGTGAGACATGCAGGAAGGTAAAGCAACTGGACCAGATGGAATACCAATTGAACTTATTAAAAACATAGGGAATGAAGGAATAGTAGCTTTAACAAGAATTTTAAACATCATTTACAAAAAAGGGGATCTATTATGGTACCTTCACCCAAGAAAACAGGAACTGTAAAACATTGTGAACACAGAACAATTAGCTTGCTAAATCATATAAGCAAAATTCTGCTAAAAATCATCCTCTAGAGAGAGATGTATAACCTTACTTAAACCAGCATGTCAGCTTTTAGCATATGGAAATATCTGATTTCATGGGTCTCCCCCAGATAAACCAGCATGCTGGTCATTCTGCAAAAATATGGTATAACAATGAATACTAACTTAAATTGTTACTTACTGTGAAATTAATTTGAGTTCCACCAAATATATAATCTAGAAATGAGTAATTCTTTATCACCTAAATTAAAGAACATAATTTTATTAAAATTATCATTTCGTATATTTTATCCTATTTAATTTAGTTCATAATATTAAATAAGTTTAATATTAAACTTAAAATCATATCAAAATAAATAGTTGCATTCTATAAAGGAATTTTAAATGGCAAAATATTAAATATCTCTTTAGAATTCTGGAATCGTGTAAATTTAGCCTTTACAGTTATTATTCAAATTTAGTCTTTTAAAAAATTTGTATTCTTAATGTATTATTCTTGAAAATGGATAGCAGTTCTTAAATATGCTAAATTTTCCATTATGTTAAAATCTAGTAAAATAAGATGTACTCATTTTCTTCTACAATTAGTTTTTTTAAATACTAAGCTGATCGAGAAAGTAAGTACTGTTTGCGCATATCTCCCGCACATCTGACAGCACGAAGGTTGCGCATGCATAGTTACATCCTTCAACTCCAGAACAAATTATCGTAGCCATTTTGTTTTGATTATGTTAACGTTTCAAGTCATTGTTTATTGGTAATCATGTTTAAAGCAATCGATTGGCCTGCCAGCTGTGAAATAAGAGCTGTTATCAAGTTTTTGAACGTGAAAAATGTTTGACCTTGTGAAATTTATCATCAGATAAGTGAAACTTATGGAGAGAATGCAATAAGTGAAGGTATGGTGAGAAAGTGGGTTAGGATGTTTAATTTAACAAAGAAAGGGAAAATATCCAGACGAGGAGCGCAGTGGAGCCCGTCGTTCTTCACCGAAGAATTGGTGTGCTGCATCGACGAACAAGTTTGTTCCAATAGGCGATTCACGATTTCTGATTTGCCAATGCTTTTTCAAAACATTTCATGATCTTTATTACACGAAATTGTGACTGAACATTTGCACTAAAAAAATTGTGTGCACGATGGGTACTGAAAACACCTACAGACGTTCAAAAACAGAAACGCATGGGAGCAGCCTTGGAGCTTTTGCAGCATTATGCGACAGAAGGAAATAATTTTTTCAAAAAGGATTGTCACAGGCGATGAAACATGGATTTGTCACGAGACACCTGAAACGACGAAACGACAGTCACTGGAATGGCAGCACACTGGTTCTCCAAAATCCAAGAAAGCAAAGCCACCTCTTTCTTCAAGAAAAATCATGTGCACCATATTTTGGGACTGTCAAGACTGGATGGAACAAGGCACAACAATCAATGCTACAGCCTACTGTGAGACATTGAAGTTACAGCACGCAATACAGAACAAAAGGCGTGGACTGCTGACTTCTGGCATTGTGTTTGTGCATGACAACACGCGGCCGCATACCGCACGCGTAACAACAATGCTGCTTGAGTCATTTCGCTGGGAACAATTCTATCACCCTCCTTATAGTCTGGACCTAGCTCCATCTGACTTCCATTTGTTTTCTCATCTCAAGAAATTTCTTGCCAGCCACCACTTTGCAAGTGATGATGAGATCAAGGTAAATGTCCAGAACGGGTTCAGGTCGCAGGCAGCCAAATTCTACGAAGCGGCAAGTATGTTGAAATTAGTGCCAAAATATGACACATGCCTTAATTCGCATGGTGAATATGTCAAAAAGTAGTTTAAGATATGTAGATTTTTCTGTAATAAAATACAAATGAAAACAAATTGCAAATCTTTTTTAATACACAAACAGTACTTACTTTCTGGATGAGCTTAGTACATCCCAATTTTTTTCTTTTGTTTCATTACAGTATAATATTAAATCCTACCAATTTACAAATTATTTTTATTAATATATCATATTGAGATAGTATTGTGTGTTCTTTTTACCTTACGTGATTCATTCGTAAATTCATTTACTCTCCATCATTTTATATTTTCTATATAATTTTTTCATCCCAAACTTCAATTATTTGTTGTATTATACTGTCAATTTTAGATTACATCTAATATTTATTACTTTTCATTTGTGTCTTTCAAAAATTTTATTTATTTATTTATCAAATATTTATCATTTTTACCCTTGAAGTACTTCCTAAGCAATAACATTGGTTTATTAATAGATATTTTAATTACTACCAGTTTTGTTTTCACTTTCCATTTATACTGATTGCTAAAGAAGCAAGAGAGAAAGATAACCAATCAATTTTTAATGTTATACTTATTAGGAGTAAGAATAAATTGTAAGCAACACACAACAAAAAACCTTCATCGTGTGTTCTTGTATAATTTGTTCTCTCAAGCAATTTTATGCTTGCTCCTAACAAGTATTAAAGCTTCATTAAACATTTCAGTTACATATTTAAATTTCATCTTTCAAATTCATCTCTCTCTTTAGATATCTAGAGAGAAATACCATTCATTTATTATTTTGCTAAATATAATATTTCATTTAGTGATTATTAGGAAGGATAATAATTTTTCTAACAGCAACTGAATAGAAATCATATTGTATTAAATAACTTAAGAGTAAGATGGTATATCTGTAGAAAAATAATAATTATTGTAAGTTATATCAATTTTTGTCCTTCTTTCTTACCAAAAACTTTAAATATTAATAAATGTTTTGCTTCTTGATTATTGTTTTAATATTTAAGATTGTTTAGAACAGATGATTAGAATAATTTGGCAAAAAGATAAGCAAAGTGTTATCTATTGTTAGTTTTAGTAACTGATATGTGATTAGCTGCCATTTATGCCATCCAAATATTCAATCTAAATTTTTTTTTCTTTAAAAAAATCATCTACAGGGTGGTCATAAAGTCCTGTCACCACTACAAAAAATTAATCATATGTTCCATTTGTTGTTTGTTTTAGACTTTAAAAAATGTCAATAATGGCTGATACTATACCATTGAAGGTTTACTCAATAGTTGTTGGGTTTACGAAAGGGAAAGAGCATAAAACAACGAAAGAGGTACATGCAGACTTCCAACAGGAATTTGGACAACACCCCTACAAAACGGATAGCTCAAAGGATAAGCTTACACATTTTTCTTTGGAATATACCTAGTTCTTCAGAACACTTCCACATTGGTTTCACAGGCAATCTCAGCATCAACTTCTTGACTTTGCTGCATTTTTCATGCCTACTACTTCAATTATCCTTTGCACTAACTTGTAAAAATCTTGGGTTCCCACCAGAAAAGTGTTCGTTTGGAGGACTGTTGTACAAATCTCTGCTAGAAGTCTGCATGTACTTCTTTTCCTTGCTTTCCCTTTAATAAACCCAATAACTAGCAAATGTACATTCTTCAATTGTGTAATTACTTGAATCAGTCATTTTTTGTATTCTTTTATCCAAAACAAACAACAAATGATTAATTTTCTATGGGGTGATGGAACGTTACTCCCATCCTACAATTTTAGAAGATGTAGCTAATAATCCAGTAAATATAGTAGTAATTTAATAAAAAATACAATGGGGCAGATTTAATACTATTTGTTGGTTTTAGCTTAAAACAAGCTTTAAAAACAAAAAACTAAATATCAAAAAATGTTCATTTTGTTTTTTCCCTTATCCGCCTTTTATCAGAGACAAAGAACTTAGAACAGAAAAACAAATATCCTTGGTATAAGTTCTTTGTCTTTGATAAAAGGCAGATAAGGGAAAAATAAAATCAACATCTTTAGATTTTTAATTTTTTGTTTTTAAAGCTTGTTATTAAGCTAAAACCAACAAATAGTAATTTTTAAAAATATATGTATATATTTTTTAAAATTACTATTTGTTGTATATACAAATATAAACATCTATTAACCTAATTTTGATTATGGTCAAATAAATTTAATTATTAAATAATTGATATAATATTAAGTAATTTTACTTAGAAGTAGACATTAGGGACCATTTCTTGATAAAATTAATATTATAAATTATACATGTAAATATTTTTTTATAGAAATAACTATATTAAAATTACTTTTTCTTTTTTCTCAAAACCCTGTAGCAAATTACAGAAAATTTCTATAAATTTGCTACAACTTTTTAGATTATTTTTATCTTAAAAACTTTTAACATTATAAAGATAACAATAAAAGATCTTATATCTTAAAGATATAAAATATTTCTCTAATAGATAAGTAAAATAATAACATTTTTTAATTTAATCAAAAATATTAAAATTAAACCTTGCATGATGATAGATAAATTATTCCTGAATTCTTATATGAAGAACCTTTTCTTTCTTTTTTCTTCTTATTGATACAAGGCCATTCAATCTGACCAAAAATAAATTTAATTGTTCTATTTTAGAAAACAATTTCATCATTTTAATTAAAAGAACAATGTAATAAATAAAGCAGTTTATACCTGCTGATGTTGAGCTTCTAAAATCTGTGCAAGATTTGTATTACATTCACCTATTAAATCATGACCTCCATCATCATCATAATCATAACAGCTTATCTAAAACAAAATATAATACAGATTCAGTAATGTTTTTACATTGTTAATGAATTAATTACAGACTTTCGTATTAAGAAGTTCTATATCGATCACGAACAATCTGTGGCATCCAGGGCTTAGGAAATGCAATTTTATCTTCCTGTTTTCTGTCTCATGCCATTATATAATCTTAATTACGGCTGACATTTGTGATGAACATTCAAACTAAACTCAACTAATAAAAAAAAAATGAGAATAAACTATATATTACTAGTTTACATATCATTAGTATATATTATTTTAGTGCCTAGGGTACTGGCAACTATAGAGTACATTGGTACTCAGCAGGCAAAAGCCTGCAACTCCTAAAAAATGTATGTAACCCACCAGAAGCCTTGTTTCCTTGAAGCCCATATCCAGAAAAGGTTGTTCATCTCTGTTCTATGTTATGAATTTTTCTGTGGAGTATTGGAAATGCATCTTTTTCACATTTAAAAATGTCCCTATTTAAGGAAGTTTAATTTCTTCATAAACAAATTTTGAAAGTACTGTCTATTCTGACCTCTTAAGATAAGGTTAAAATAAATATTCATTTTTTGATATATCAAAAACAGTAAGAAATAGCTTCTTGTCAGCAAGAAGACATTCCAGATGAAAGTTTTGATTATTTTAATAAATTTATATTGTTCATTTAAAGTAAATTAACATTTTGTAAAAAAAAAAAACAAATGATGGAAAAAATTACTATTTTTCAAAATAAATTGAAATAATAAGAATTATTTTGTACTTAAGTTTTCCCTCAATTTCTATAAAAAATACCATATCTTCTGTTTGATTTTTTCATGTAAAATGCATGCATAACACAATTTTGTTACAACAAACTTTTTAGAGAGATTTAAACAACTTTGCTACAACTTTCTAAACTGAAAATAAAATAATTCAACTTACTAAAATTGCTGCTTCAGCATTATTTCCTCCAAGTGTTTGCATATTAATTTGGAAAGTCTTCCAAACAGGATTTAAATTATTTTTTATAACCTGTAATATATAATCATTTAAGAATTTATCATATTAAAAATGCTATTAAAGTTTACAAAATTGTATAAATAGAATAAACTAGCAAATGAATCATGCATTGCCTGGGCAAAAATAACAGCAAAGATTAAGATTATTAGATTATATTATAGTATTTGATTTATAATTACAAAGGGTATCTTATGTAAGAGTTTATCACACCGAGTGACCAATCTAACACATTTTAAAAATTCTTTAAATTGCATACAATAGAGGAATAAAGAATTTTAAAATGCGTTAGATTGGTCACTCAGTGTGATAAACCCTTATGTAAGATAACATTCATAGTTATATAAATCAAATACTACAATATAACAAACATTAAAATGAAAACCATGTAAAGAGTTGGTTATTTCAGACTACCATTGTCATGTTTATCACGATGATATGAAATGGCACAATTTCATTGGTCAAGTAGACACCAATTGAAAATATATTATTTTAAATTTTTTAAGATATATTTTTTTCCTAATGTTAACTCACGTGTGGCTACCTCCTTCAGGGACATCAACCCAGTGTACAGCCATTTACCGGTCTCCAAGTTAAAGCAGCTCCTATGGCAGCATACAATTGTAGCGTGGCAACAAGAATGGGAGTGTATCTCAGAGCAGCACATTTCCCGGCAGTTCTTCCCAGACGTAGCAAGACGCCTCAGCTGGAAATGGATCCACCCTCAACACCAGATGTCACAGCTGCTTTCAGAACACAGTAAATTCAATGTCTACTTACATCGGTTTCTACACAGCGACACTGACTGCTGTCCTAACTGCGATGTGCGTGATGGGGTAAGGCATTATCTTTTGTGTTGCCCACTGCTGGAGGACATAAGGAATGAGCTCAAACTTTATGTTGAAGAAGATAATCTCAATTGGCCGTGTAAGCTGGAAATTTTAGTGTAGAGTAAAAAGTACTTTTCCCTTTTTCAAAGGATGGTCTTTACTTTAAAGGATAAGCTTTACTTTAACAGAACATTAATACATTGATAAAGGATTTTCCCCACTTTTCATATCTTTGTATTGCTGAAAATCTTATAATATCCTTATGCCTATTGCACTGTGCATTTACTCTGTGTCTGTTACTGTACAAGGTCTGTACACCATTTTCGCCTTGGCGTCCGTGTTCATGCGTGGTTCCATTTGTTTTGTTCAGGCCTCCATCAATGTACTTTCATTGTGTGTCTATGTTGCACTAGCATTGTGCAGGAACTGTATCCTCTCATACTGTACATATGTGAGCTTTTTTTGTTTTGACTAACCTTCACACAAACTGCAATGTCTTCGGTTTAGTGATTTACCACAACTCAAGACGTCATGATTTTATATTTACGTGTATTTTGTTTTTTTTTTTCCTCTTACGCTCACTGTCGGTTTTCCTGCTTGGCATGTCACCTCTATGTACACCCTGTATATATTCATCTCGACTGTGCCTAGCAGTGTCGGGCATAATAAAGTTTATTTTGTCTGTCTGTCTAAGAAATTGTGCCATTCACAGCCGAGTATCAAACGTTATCTGCCAATCAATCAAATTTCACGAAAAATGACCAAATATTTAAACTCAGCACTCTCAGAAACTACTTAAAACATATTTCTGCTTGCTGGTAACTTTGTATTATATAATTTTCCTATTCAAATGTTACCATACTGCTTGGTCTGATAGGAGGAAGGGAGTCAAAGTAATTTGACCAAAAGTAGTCATTGATCTCCTTCTAGAAGAGAAGATGGTCAACGACTACTAATTAACCCTTTTAAACTCATGATGTTTCACTGTTCATTGTTCGAAAATTGTCACTGCAAACTTTACTCACTCAAGGTCATTCAACTTATATTATTCAAAAATTTGCCAAAAATCCAGCAATTATCACACACATACGAAAAAATTCACGTTTATGTTACTTTTCATTGTTTACAGTAGTAAAGTTTCTTTTCGCTAGCATAAAAAAATTTATTCCAAAAGAATATGTTAAAAATGACAGTTTGAATATTATTTATAATTTACACAACTCGATCATAGATAAAATTTTTTGATTATATAGATCATTTCCGTGAGTAACCCTGCACAAACAGCCATTTTGTTCTGTACATTTTGATTAAAACAAACTCAAACAGTTTTTTACACAAAGAAATTTCTTGCTTCAAAAAAATTATAAATACTTAAAATAAAAATAAAATGCCATTTGGTATTAAATATGTGAAACAAGTGTACAGAATAATCTACAGTAGTGTAGTGCCATCTACGAATGGAATGTTTTATAAGAATCGTAAATTCTCAGATTGACAATAAATCGTCAAGTGATTTGTTTCATTAATTAATTACTTGACGATATATCAAGAAATGATTGCAAAAGGATTAATCTTGAGATTGGAGTTAAATAGATGAAAATTGAAACCAAATGTGGAAAGCTCAGGGCAGGAAGTCCAGATTAACTATATATGAACTTCCAGTACAAACCAGAAGTCACATTACTTCAATTCAAAAGTTTTCCCATGAACAGAGTTAGATTGATGACCAACACAACTCTATCACTAACAGGAAAAGTATGATGCATAGGGACAAGACACCACTAAAACAATTGTGAACATTGTGACGAAAAACTGCAGCCCAGCATTGTGACAATGTCACAATAAATAATCTCTGATTAGAATTAGTTTGGTTTATTTGGTTACGGCAACATGACACTTGAGCAATCTGCCAAGAGGAATGCATCCCGGGAAGACTTTTGTGGAAAGCGGGTCTCTATTTAGGTGTTACCAACATGAAGAAAACCCAGAAAACTGCACATGGCTAACCCAGTGGCGATGCCCAAACAAATGGCAAACTAACTACCGGAGTTTGGTGCTTTTATCCATTTGACCACTGGAGGGCACTTATTGAGAAAGTATCATTCAGAAATGAAGAAGTTCAAGTGCCAAATGCTATATGCTACCTGTTGCAGTAATTAAGTGAATGTAATATATATATTTTTAAAATTATATCCTTTTTTGTAAGAATTATATTTAATTTATGATTTTGTTAAATTTTTTGCCAATAGATGGAACTACATGTAAACCCAGCAAATTGAACCTAGACAGAAATTAATTGATATATAGAAATCCAATCAATATTTTGGGGTGATATTAATGACATTATCTAAGTTAGAAGAATGTTAACGTAATGCCAAGTTTCATAACAATTGGTTGAACTGCCTAGGTGTGCATAGTGAACAAACATCCTCATTTATATATACAGGGTGGGCCAACAAAAACAAAACGGCAGAGTTATCGTGTTCGTCCAAGCAAATCGCTCGGACAGATCGCTTTTATTCTCAAGGGAGAATATTTTTTTCTGTGCATATGCAGTCCAGCTTAAAAAGTTTTTTTATGTTTGTTAATAGTTTGTGTTACTTTTTTCCGAAATAAGTGTTTGTTTAGTTAATAAAAAAATGAATGAGTTAAATTTTTTGTTGTCTGTTGTATTCAAAATTGCAAAAACTTTATTGCAGAAGATGTCCCCCTTGAGAATAAAATCGATCTGTCCGAGCGATTTGCTTGGACAAACGCGATAACTCTGCCGTTTCGTTTTCGATGGCCCACCCTGTATATTAGATTAATTTAGAATAATCTGAATTGCTGAATCACAGATCACTGTTTATTTTCATACATCTTGACATTCCAGTATACAATAACATTATTTTTAAAAACTTACTTCTGTCCGATGTATTACATTCCAAGTACCATCAATTCCCTGTTTTCTAAATTCTAAAAAAGGATCCGATTTACTGAAGAAATCCTGAATAAAATATTTTAAAATTATAATTAATTTTTCATTTATTTAATACTTTTTTAATAATTTCACAGTAAATACGTTATAAATTCCAATTATACAAGATATTCACTGACCTTATCATCAAGCTTTTTAGCTTGAAAAGAGAGCAAAAGACAATCATTTCCTTCTTTTCCAACTTCTTGAGCTCTAATCTAGTTAAATTAAATTTAATATTTATAATTACTTAAATTTAATAAATAAACAATATCAATTACACATAAGCTATAAATATATAACATTTAGAATAACATGACAAAATATTTTAATTCAATTTTTTGATATTTTTTATTAATTTGATTTGTGTAATTACATCAACTTTCATTTATCAATACTGATCTATCTTGGTAAAAAACATATTAATTAAATGTAACAAAAGTTGTTTTTTGTTTTCACATGTACCAGTAGTGTGAAAACAAATGCTCTCAGATTTTCTACTATGAAAATTACTAAAATTTTTACTTGCCATTCTTGAATTATCTTATTTGATATTTTTATCAATTTACCATAATACTACTTTTGAAACTTTTACTTTATACCATGATCGCATATTCAATTTAGTAGCTTAATTTATTTGTAATACTTTCACATTTTGTGTGACATCATTCTTTGTAAAGCAGTAATTTTCAACTGATAGACTTGAAATTCCTCCCCTGGGCGTCAAGTGCTTCTAAGGAAATAAATTTTTTCCACAGGAAAAACTGGGGAGGAAGTTTGGTTAGGAAAGGATGTGGGAAAAAATGTAGAGAGAAGTAAAATAGTAGTATGCACCACTCTATGAAAAAATTTGATGGCATGTGACAACTAGCAGCTACTTGTTGATAAAGTCCACTTTTCAGTTTTGGATAGGTAACACCATTTCAAAAACATTAGTGCTTTCAATGCTGTTATTGATGTAGTGACCAAAAACTGCAGACATCTAAACATTTGTGAGTACGTTCATCTTTGAACAAAACCAATTAGTTTTGATCCTCAGTTTTCTCATTTAGTTGAATTGTACACGAGTCAAATTGCTCACTTGACAAAAGTATGACACTTAATGAAACTACTTATATTTGTTTTATTATAAATTGTCTATATTTCAATGATTACCATCGTAAGGATGTATTGTGTTGAAAATACTTTCTGAATAATGATAAATGCATAGGAGGAAGATTTGAGGCATCCTAATGTGAAATGGACCTCAGACCTGGGTCAGTGAAAACTACTAACCTGTAAGATTGATGAGATTTTTAAATGTAACCTGATTCATATGAGTTTGCCATACAAGACTAGGGAGTAGAATAGACAAATTATACTACATACTTGTCATATATCAATTTAGATTTTTAAGGTAAATGTAATGTATTTTATCATTATTAGAAATTTCAAAATAAGATTTCTAAATGTAACAGAAAAAATACAATAACTACTATCATCTTTTCAATTTCAAAACTAAGTACCATGTTTTTGTGCCTATAACTCGTGATTCTGTGTAACCCATGATGGTATATATCCTGTAGAAAACTGCCAGAATGAAAATAAAACCTTTACATAATCTGCCCTGCAAGTTCACAATTACAATTTAAAATTGGCATATGTTCTTCCATCCCATCACATAACTTACATACCTTTCAAACTATCTTTTAAACACAGATAACCTGCAGGTTATATGCATGAAAATACAACAGATATAACAACAGAAAAATAAATTGGAAAAGTTATCTAATTGTACTGTTGATCAAGCAATAGTAGCAAAATTGTTACTTTTCTAATTTTCATGATGTAATTTCATTAATGTTTTAGATATATATCAAAAGTTAACAATTTCTTAAATTAGTATTAAATTATTTCATATAGTTCTAACCAAACAACATATATTATTTGATTAGGATTCAGACATTTTCAAGTATACATGAAAAAAAAAACATGAATTATAAAATATATGCTTACTTTATAATCCATTACATATACAATGGCATACCCAGAGGGGGCCCTGGCAGCCTCCAAAGTTTTCAAGGAAAACAAAGACTAGAAAATTTTCTAAAAAGTCTTTTCCTAATTAAAATTCATTTATTTATTTATATTGTGCCATGTCTTCTATTTCTATACTACTTATGAATTAGTAGTCACATAAGGTGAGAATTTTATTAAACTTGAATTAAGAAGTTTATTCGTTCAACTCGGCTCCTCAAGATTAAATCCTGAGTATGCCGTTGTACACATACACACATAAATAAATAAATAAATAAATATATATATATATATACTGTAAGGTCTCTTTTTATGCGGATTATTTTTATGCAATTTTGAAGTTGTGCGGTTTGTATTTCATCCAAAAATTTCTTGGACAAACATACATATAGGCTTGTTTAGGAAGCCCGCGTATAGACAGTCTCCAAAAATCGTGAAACGCTCAAAGCTCACTCCATTTGTTCCACTGACATATAAGGTTTATGGATGTAAAGGACAGCTAGATCTACCTTAATCGCTTTAGTTCCTAGCAATTTTTGATATAAATGTAATTAAACATAAAAATACTTAAAACTGAAAAAAAAACGAAAGAAATGCGTTAATTTTGAAGAAAAAGCTTCAAAGTTTAACTTCCTTTGTCTTGCCCTTCTGTGAAATTTAACACTGATGAGTCATTGTTTACACATCTGGATGTCCTTGAACACAGCTGGAGTTGGATTTCCAGGGGCATTCTCATAGACGTCGCAGGAGGACAAGGGTTTAAAGTAGGGTGAACACTAGCTGGCCGTATATTTTTAAATATTTTTTAAAAATTTGGAGACTTATAAAACATTCCAAAAATTCCAAAAAAAAAATGTCAAAAATGGCCTTAAGGACCGTGTTTTATGTAACGCTATGTAACGTGCCCGAGTTAACTCGGCGAGGAACTAAAGGGGTTTTAATTAACTCTTCACATCCAGATGTCAGTGATTTGTTTTTAGAGTGAGCTTTTGCAATTCGGGGATTCCCCTCGTACATGATGCTTACCATCGACAAGTCGCTATTACATCATTCTGAGTTTCGCATTGAAAGGTATAAACTGTAATTGTTTTGAAATTAAATTTTATTTTAGCGGTGTTTTGTTCATTTTTATAATAAGTAGCGAGTTTAAATTTTGCTGATTTCAAGTTGCAGTATTAAGCAGCCTATTTCTTTTAATTTCTGCAAACTTTTTTATGCGGCTTTAAGTTAATTTTAACTCGTTGTTTTGGTTTTATGCGATTTTAGAAAATTACGGAACGTATCCCTACTTTTTCAAATCAAGCAAAGTCTTTTTTTATGCAAATTTTTTATATGCGCTTTTCTGCAGAACGTATCCACCGCATAAAAAGAGACCTTACAGTATATATATATATATATATATATTTTATTTATTTATTTATTTATTTATATATTTACAAGAGCTCCCCTACTTATTATGAATGTTCAACTTATGAAGTTTCAGACTTACAATTTGACCATATGTCTGAAATTTAAATTTCGCAGAGATTTTAAAGTTTTCATCAGTTTGTGGGGTGGAATTGAAGTCAGTCTTTGGCCAGTAATAAATAATTAATATGGGCTTATGTCTATTGCATATCATTGTTTTTCTTTTTGGTGTGAATTCCAAGGTTCCATTGCTGCTTGTGAGATGGCGTCAAAGTTGATAATGTTGGAGTTATGTCATTTTTCACTGTTGTTTGAAGTTTTTATAAACTTTTAGGATTAGTGCTTTGAAAATACATCCAAACTGTAATAGTATATCTAATAGTGAAGATAAATACAAGAAGTGTTGCCTATTACAGTGGAAACTACACCGGATTTTATAAAACTAAGTGTGTTAGGTAAAAAACTTAAGAACTAGAATAAGTGAGCATACATGTGCAATAAAATATAATTACCCTTACTCAGCAGTTGCCATCCACTGCAACCAAGAGGGTTGCAGAATCTCACTAGAAAGTGTCAAAATTCTCAAAAAAAGAAAAAATGTTGTTAAAAGAAAATTTTATGAACACTTAAATATCATCAAAATTAATGATAATAATAGAATAAATCTAAATACTGGCATAGTTATAAGTAAGATCTGGCAACTATTACTTCAAAATTAAAAGTCCATTTATATTGTCCTTCCTTCCCCTTCCCCCCTTCATTACCCACTGCACTGCTTGTTGTTGTTCTGTTTAACAGCCATACATTATGTGAATGTCACACAAAACTGTGGAGTGGATAGGCCAACTAAGAGATGTAAACATTTTGGTTGATTTTCTTCATTTCACAGTTTAGTATTTTTTCAAATTATTTCTATGTTAGCAAGTTTTATCTTTAACTTTACACAGGTATCCCCTTTTACCCCATTTTAACAGCATTTATTTTAATTTACTTAATTTTTTTATTCTTAATTCATTTCAGTTTCACTTGTTTTAATTCTTTCTTGTCACAAAAACTCACATCTTTAAATCCAGCAATGAATTTAATAAAATAAGAATGTTTTTGATCAGTTTCACTGACCTTCTTCGGTTACAGTGGAACAGAAATAAAAAAAAACGTGAATACAAAAATTTAAAAAATGCAAGTACAATTGTAAAAGAACAAGAATTTGAATACAAAGATGTTATTTTAAAATAATAAATAAATAACAGCAACTGCAGATGAAATTAATAAAATAAATAAAGAAATGAAATAGAAAGTAAAAAAATAAATGAATAAATATCCTTTAATCAAATTAAAATTTCATAAATGGACCACCATGTGGTAGACAAGTCGTCCGCATCTCTATGGTTGATGTACCTGGATTTTTTTGAGCATTATAAATTTCCAATTTTTCTAGATATCTCATAGTGTGTATTAGATGTGGGTCTGATGATGGCTGCTTGCTCCCAGTTTACTTGTATGTCTTGATGTTGCAAGACAGTAAGCTGCCAATGTCATATTATTGAGATTTTTTTCAATTCCATACTGATGCTCCTTGAGTCGTCGTCGTAAATTATGCCCAGTGGCACCCACATAGACCAGTTTTGATTTGAAACGGTCATTTATCAGGATGGAGTAAATCCCTGCGGTCAAATTACAATTATATGGTTTTTTTTTTTATCATTCCTTAGAATTTTGAAGATTGTTGGGTTGTGTCAATATATTATTTTGACATTACTAGCACTGGCCACTTTCTTATGTATCTTTCTTAAAAATGGGATATAATTTAAGACAACACTCTTGTTTCTGGTTCACAAATGTATGCTGATGTTTTGATGCTTGAAAAGTTTTTTTTTTTTTTTTTTTTTGTTTTGGCTCTACACCTTTTATCCAGGAGTCACAAGTAAATATTGTTTCAGGTAACCTTCATTTTTCTCTGGATTTTGCACATATATGTAACATAAATAAATGTTAAGTTTCATTAAGTTTAATGTATTTTGTTATGCAGAATTTATAATTGTACAAAAAAAAGAACCTGAAGAGTGGCAAATATCCCAAAATGCATTTCCACCACTTTGTACAAAAACAGTGTGTGTTAAATAATAAAGTCTATTCTCTTCACCACACGTGTTCCTGTATGATAAGTTCAACACAGCAATTAACACGTGAAAACCTTATTATATCCAGTAATGATAAAAATTAAATAAAACTAACATTTTCGACCATATTCATGGTCTTCCTCAGGCTTTTGACCAGTACAACTTGAATATGGAATGCGTCGAACAACATGTTTAAATTATCTTAAAATTCCGAAAATTTTAAACTAGAAGATAATTTTTTAGCCGAATGTGCTACTATAGTAATAAAAATATCTTTACACCACAACAAATAAATAAGATGCACTTAATGGTGTAGAATAAGCATCTAATGTTGCTCTTGTTTTTTCTCATAGCACCACCTCCATGCGTAAGAAACATTAGCAGCATCCTTTGTGTTAATACAGTTGCTGGCCAGTCCGGCTTTGTAATTTCTAAAGCTTCTCGGTTGCAAAGGTGCTCAACCTGACGTGACATTTTTAATAATTTAGCCTTATGGAGGTGGGCTTGTATTTCGGGGTCCGTGGCATAGGAGGCTAGGACAATGGTATGCCTTTGGTTGGAGATATCAAAACTGTGCTCCTGTATTCATATCCTAATGCAGCATTACATAATAGACATTGACTGTGAATACGTCAATGATGAATACCTGAACAGGTTGCAGGCCCATGTGAAACGATTCACAAACTACCTTAGTCAAGGCATGGAGGTTGAACAGGACGATGGTTGCCTCGCCTGACACTCCCATGCTATTTGCTTTTGCAAAGACTCATAAACCAATACCTTCCTTGAGACCTGATCTAGATAAATCTAGGTCACCTACCAGGATGCTTGAAGGGGCGGTACACATCTTTATATCAAAGTGCTTAAAGGGGTATGATTGGAATGTCAAGAACTCCAATGAGCTAATTGATGTTTTACGACAGGTTAATGCAACAGAAGTAGCATGCATTACTGTCTTGGATGTTGTCTCTCTATACCCCTCGATTAAAATACAACCATGCTTCTGTGTGCTCAGAGATCTGTTACTAAGCTGCAAAGGGGCCAGTGCTAATCGTAAACAGGTATTGGAGCTAACACATCTCTTGTGCTACACCTCATTCTTTCACTTCAATAACTATATGTATATATACAAAAACGGGGTGTACCCATGAGCAGCCCTATCTCAGGGGACTTATGCGAATTGTTTGTCCGACAGCTGGAGCAAAAGGTCATACCTATATTTCTACCAAACATCCTAGTATACAAAAGGTATTTTGATGACATCTTCATTCTTTGGAAGGCTGAGCCCAACGTAAATGATTTCATAAATTCCACGAACAACCACCCATATGGCCTTACCATCAAGCTTGATCAGAAGGATGACACAAATGCACATTTCCTCGATGTTAGCATTCACCTGGATGAGGGCAGGGTGCAAACCAGCATACATTACGAACCATGTTATGTACCAATATTTATTCCATCGAACTCTGCTTACCCTTTTTCTTAAAAGATCACTGCATTCCATGCACTAACTAGAAGGGCATGCACGCACCACACTAGTTGGGAGAAGACGATGGCACAGTTGAAGCACATAAAAAGCATAGGCTACAGTAGAGGCACGATATATAACTTATCGTGCACGTATGCCAACCTACTAACGACGCACAATACTCACAACACACAGGTAAAACCCAACACCACCCATGATCGTGGCATCAACCAATCACGCACAGAGATGCAATACAACCTGCATCTAATCTATCTATCTAAGCTCTATCTATAAGGAAATTGCTGCCCATAAAGACACAAAAATTGCCTATAAGAGATCTAGCACAGTATGTGGGTTATTGTGCAACGGAAAAGACAGGACAGAGGAAAGTCAGGCATCTGATGTTTATATGGTTCCCCTCAGAGACCACAGATCCAAAGGCATACCAACATCCTAGCCTCCTATGCCATGGACCCCAAAATACAAGCCCACCTCCATAAGGCTAAATTATTAAAAATGTAACGTCAGGTTGAGCACCTTCGCAACCTAGAAGCTTCAGAAATTTACAAAGCCGGCCAGTCCGGCTTTGTGAATTTAACACAAAGGATGCCGCTAATGTTTCTTACGCATGGAAGTGGTGCTATGAGGAAAAAAAAATCAGAACAACATTAGATGCTTATTCTACACCATTAAGTACATCTTATTATTTATTTGTTGTGATGTAAAAATATTTTTATCACTATAGTGTAGCACATTCGGCTAAAAATAATCTTCTAGTTTAAATTTTTCGGAATTTTAAGATAATTTAAACATATTGTTCGATGCATTCCATATTCAAATTGTACTGGTCAGAAGCCTGAGGAAGACCATGAATACAGTCAAAAATGTTAGTTTTATTTAATTGTTATCCTTACTGGGATATAATAAGGTTCTCGTGTGTTAATTATCCTTCCCAGTGATTCTGAGACTTGTTTTTTTTTTTAACACAGCAATTTTGTGCACTTTTCCCAACAAACATAGAAAGAATAAAAAGCAGTCAAGTATGAAAAAAATATGAACAACAAAGTTCCAAGGATAATTTTTTTTGATTAAGTCAAATTTTAATGCTGTGTCGTTGACATCGGATCCTCCAAGGAAAGGTCAGTGTCAATTGTATATTGTATGTATTTTTTAATGTCATTTCGTTGGTTTTTAAGTTGTTAACCATCTGTCTCTAGCTGAATTATTAAAAAAGGATTATTTTGTACTGACCCAAAATTATTTGTATGGTCAAAATTTGATTTAATGAAAAAATATATATATATATTTGAAACACCTGCTACGAAACTGTAGCAAGTGGGTAAATGAATGTACAGGTACTCCTCACTTTACGACCTATCTGCTTAACAACCACTCACACTTACGACCAATCGAGTTTCGACCTGCAATTTGGGAAATCCCCTTTCTCAGCTTGAGTGTCGATCAGTGGGGATTGGTGACATGCTCACTGATCTTAGTATAGGCTTGCTATGCACTTTTTTAGTCAGTTTGATGCAATTTAAACAATTGCGGGCCTTGCCAATGCACTTAATTTAGACGTTGAAGTGGAAGAAATTGCTGAATTAGTGGATTATGCCAATGGAGAGATAACAAATGACGATTTAATAGAGTTAGAAGCGATGCAGTATTTGGAAGAGGAAGAAGACTAAAGAACTGAAGAAGTGAAAAAGAAATTTACAGTACATCGGTTAGCTGGTGTGTTCTCCAAAATTAATGCAGCTATGTTGGAACTTGAGGTTATGAATCCAAATACTGAACGTTTTAACATAAAGTTCTCTATAGCACTTCAAAAGTGAACTTTTGAAGTGCTATAGAGAACTTTAAGTTCACTAACAAAACTTCAAAAGTTCACTTTTGAAGTGCTATAGAGAAATTTATCAAGAAAAAAAAGATGATTACAACGCAAACCACAGTTACGAGTTTCTTTTCGACCGTTACATCCAAGCCCTCCGCCCTTGAAGGTACAACTTCTATTTCATAGTCGTCATCTCCCTTACCTGGGAAAAAGACCTCTACAGCTCCAGATAACCAAATAAACAAATGATAATATGTACATACGCATGTCTTTTTATGAATAAATTTGAAGTTTGTTGCATAATTTTTATAATTTTACAAAGATCCTATATTCCCAGCGCAAGCTCCTCGCTTATCGACCAATTTGCTTAACGACATAGTCGTCGGAATGGAACTCGGTCGTAAAGTGAGGAGTGTCTGTAATGTATTTTATTAAGTACATTGAAAGATAAAACACTAACAATAAGTAGTTATTCTGTGTACAAACGTAATTTCTAGGTTAGTTTTCAATTAACAAACATTTGGACTTACAACAAAACCTTGGAAACCTAACCTGTTTGTAAGGAGAAAGGCACCTGTATTTGCTATTTATACATCTTAACATTATTTCTTAGCTTCATAAAAATTCAGTTTAAAATTGTATTTAGAGTTCAATATGGATTATAATATGGTTTATTGTTTAGGTGAATGTCGTATCAGTTAGTTTAGTTATTTTGTATATTATATCTTTTGTTTTATAAATATTTTAGTCAGTTATAACACAATATTTTGCTTAAATTTATAATGTTATTATCTGTATAATTATAATGAAAACTTGTATAATTTACAAATAATACAAGGTACAAACTTTCTAATTATACTTACAATTATAGAACTTTTCTGTTTATGACCTGATCTTGTTAACAGTGGTCTTGTAAATGGTGAGCAAGAAACAATCTAAACCAAATTAAATAAATTATCATTGATTTATAATATAAAATATAAAGTGAAATAGTTAAACAAATGCACTATAAGAAATTGTAAAAGCCTTACTGTCCTTTTTAATTCTAATATTATTTTTAATTGTCTACTTGGACTTTATTTATTAATAGGAGATAAACTGGTGTTTAAAGATTGACACAGCAATGAGAGTTAGTTCAGGAAAGAACAAAATTTCTTTATTATATCACCTGTAGTAATAGTTTCTGAAATACTGGTGTTTAAAGATTGACACAGCAATGAGAGTTAGTTCAGGAAAGAACAAAATTTCTTTATTATATCACCTGTAGTAAAGAAAAAAAAATGATATTATAACAGAATTAATACAAGGATGTGGATATAAATTACTGGAAAAGGACCCAAGAAAAAGTATGCTAAATAACTTAAAGAATTAGAAGATATGAGAAATTGAAATCTGATAACAGATGAAGAATTTAGGAAAATTAATAACGAAAACAATCGCATACCTAAATTCAATATTAGGGTAAAAATGCATAAAAATCCAGTTAAGTACAGACCTTTAATTGATGTTAAAAATTATGTATACTATAATCTAGAAAAATTTTAAAAAAATAAGCTTAATACGTTAGAAATTTCCGATTATAGTTTAAAAAATGTTGATTTATTATTAAATAGATTAAAAAACAATAATATTACAATTAATGAATATACGAAATTGTTTTCTTTAGATATAAAAAATATGTATCCTAGTATAACAAAAAGTAACATTGAAAAATCTTTACAGAAAATTAACATGCCTATCTGGATTATTAAATTATGTTTGTTAGTACTGGATAACAATCATTTCAAGTATGATGATAACTTTTATACTCAAACTGAAGGAATACCAATGGGAACATGCATAGGCCCAAGACTTGCCGAAATCTTTATGATAGACATAGATAAAAAAATTACAGATATAAAAGGAATAATATTTTATAATAGATATGTGGATGATTGCATTATTTTATTTGATAGTAGAAAGACTAACGAAGAAAAAATTTTAAAACAAGCAAATTCAATAGAAACAAACATACAGTTTGAAGCCGAAACAGAATGTAATAATAGTTTAAATTATTTAGACATAACCATTAATAGAACTGACAACAAGTTAGAATTCAGAAAATTTATAAAACCTACGCAAATACCAAAGGTACTAAATTATAAAACCAACGTTCCACAAGCTATGAAATTTAACATCTTCAAAATGTACATAGAAAAAATTAAAAACAAAACTAGTAAATTAGAAAATCAAGAGATGTAAATAGAACATGTAATAAAAATGTTCTTACTGAATAGTTACCCCAAAAAAATATTAGAAAAATGGTTAAACTGGACTAATAATAATGACAATAAAAATAAAAAATTTAAGAAAGATAAAAAACGTGTAAAAATGATGTATGTACCTAAACTGTTTGAAAGAGTTAAAAATGTACTAAATGAAAAAGTGAATTTAATACCCGAAAAAAATAATTTATTTAAAAGATATTTATATAATAAGGTAGATAAAAAATTGGATTTAATGGAAGAAAAAGAAATTGTGTATTCATTCAATTGCAGTTGTGATCCGGTTAAAACTTATATAGGTGAAACAAAAAGAAAATTAGGCACAAGAATAAAAGAACACATACGTGCAATAAGGGGTAATTATGCAAATTCTGCAGTAGCAGAACACTGCAATAGTTATGGGTGCCAAATCAACAAAGATACTATAAAAATAAAGAAAAAAGAATCAAATAATTTCAAACGTCAATTATACGAACATTTAAACATAAAGAAAGAAAGAAATAAAATAAACAATAATTTTGGTTGTATAATCCACCAATCCTGGAGCACCATTCTAGATGACGATTATAAAAAAGCATACTCTCTCTACCATAATACTGTTGAATTGTGAAAATTTGAACCTTGATGTGAGTCCTTTTGGTTTTCATATGTAATGTTTTAATTTTTTAATAATTTACAACCTTTATTTATTATATTTTAATTTATTTATACAGTGAAATGTTTAAATCATTAATTAATTATACAACGAGAAAAATACATTTATACTCGGGTTTGGAATATGTATTTACAGTAATTTTTTTTTTTTAATTATTTTTATGGCTATGTAAAAAAATTTTTAACTTATACAATAACTTATCTTGTTTTATTATTGTTACTTTTTAGTTTGTGGTAGTAGTACTGCTGATGAGGGGCATGCTAGCCCGAAACACTTGTAATATGTGTACAGAAACTATTACTACAGGTGATATAATAAAGAAATTTTGTTCTTTCCTGAACTAACTCTCATTGCTGTGTCAATCTTTAAACACCAGTTTATGTCCTATTAATAAATTAAGTCCAAGTAGACAATTAAAAATAATATTAGCACTATAAGAAATATAGAACAGCTAAACTAAGCAGTTGTTACTATTATTAGTTTATTAGCTTTTGCTATTTGCATGACAAAATTAGCTAAGTGAATTTTTCAAAAAGAAAAACATTTTGTCTTTTAGATCATTACTTAATAAAAATTTAATTCTATATAACATCTAGAAAAATTCTAGGCAAACTTTCTTTCTCTGTCCCTAATTGATGTATCTATGTTGACATTGAGGAATGAATTTACAATAGTAGTATATATTAACCCTTAATCTTACGACCTAGTGTCATATAAAATCCCATGTATTTCATTGATCTGTATTTGCTATTTGTGCATTCACCAATGCAATGTATGCCCTCCTATTTTTCAGTATCCTCAAGGATAGTAGTTGACTCCCTTTAGTCATTAGTAACTAGGTTAGTAACATTACAAGCTAGCTTCTCATTATTATTGGTTTTGAAACAGTCTCTTTTCTCTTTCGGTATCATATCTGACATTACCCTGTGGATTTCATAACAAAAAATTTTTTCTTCTGTTTCAATATGACTGTTTGATCTCATTTCATCACACCTAGAGATCAGAAATGAAATACTTAGATAAGAAGAGGTCAGTAAAAATAAAGGTAGCTATTAAAGTGACTAAAACAGATATTGCATTATTATTTAATGACAACTGTGATGACGTGAGACCGGGACCTCACCCGACACTGTGAGAAACAGACTGTCAAACTGATGTCAATAGACAGGTGATATATTCCTCTGCTTTGAGCCAGAGAGACAGAGAAATTGGGTACTGTAGAATTTAATTGTCACATTTCGGTCACAGATCACAGGGAAGAGAGGAAGAGTGACACTGATTGAAATTTTTGCAGTCACCCAACATTGAGTAAGGCAAAAAAAGCAAACACTTCCTCAGAGGGGGAAGGTGACCAGGACCATATGGGCATAGCTGCAGATACAACTGCATCCTCTCCAAAAGAAAAGAAAAACACATTTTCCACGATTTACAGGACAACTGTTTTAGGAGGAGCATAACCCTACCCATGGGAAGAGTGGTCCATATCAGAGGAGGTCACCTCACAACCCGAATTGCGTCCCTAGCAACAGCTCGGGCCAACCAGAAGTTGGAATTTTGGGATAAACTTGAATAAAAGCCTGGGTTTTCAAGGACACAGGGTGGTCATCATCATGGTTGTCATTATGTAAGCACCACTCTTTTTCTTTTGCATCTTCTGATCAGCAGGTTATCCAACTTTGCCCACGTTGGTCCAAGAACTCCACCTGTGGCTGACGAAGAGCACTGGACATCTCTTCATGCATGTTGTCCGTCCGTGCCTTCTCAATGTCATCTTTCTCGAACATCAATATAATATATCCCTATTGTAAGCATGACTTTATTGTTCATTAAATGCAAATATTATTGTCAATCTGTGTCAGTGTGAATCTCTATGTTCAGTACCACTACCCCCATATGATCTAACGTGTAATGATGCATTTTAAGAATAATTTACCTCAACAAAACATTTCCTCGACCTCTTGAACATGTTATTGCTTTTTGGAAAAAATTTAATGTTTTGGGATGACTTAAGACACTGCAAGCTCAAATAAACTTTTAAATTGCTTCACAAGATCCAAATGATACTGGAACATATTCAGTAATGTCCCTAATTGTTAAACAATGATCAGTGAGCACAAAATCTCTGACTTGAGCAACATGTTCATCAGTTCAAGTGGATGGTCTACCAGAGCATGGTTCATCTTCAACGTGTTGTCTATCATCTTGTACCACTCAAAAAACTTTTTTTTGATAAGCTATCATCACTAAATGCTTTTTGCAACATTTCCAAATGTTTTAATAGCAGTAATTCCATTGCAAAAACAAAATTTAATACATGTTCTTTGCTCAGTTACACTCGACATTTTGAGAACTTGCCTGCGCAAAAATTCTTCACACACAAAACAAGTATTTATTTGAAAATAAAAACAGATGATGGCATAGGGATTGCTGCTAGATGTCAATGAAAGTCATACCAAACAATGAAAAACATGACAACAGCACCTTCTTGCAGGCACAGAATTTAAATGAACCATTCCCTTTACTTTTTGATCACAATAGTATTTTTATTCCTATTGATTTATTTTGGTGTGTCTCTTAGTACATTGCATTTTAACAGAAATATATTTTCCTTTTAGGTTTAAAAAGTCCAATATTTAAGTTTAAATTAATTCTCAGGTTTGAAGTTTTCTTCTAATTCAATATCACATGTAAGCTAGCTGATTTCAGTTAAATGAGCGTCAAGAAAAGCCCTACGGACTGATCATATGTGGGCAGTGGCGTACCGCGGGTGCCAGCCGCCCGGTGCGGAGAAAAATTTCAACCCCCTTATTTAGGTATTTCAATTTAAAAGACCAAAATTCAGTTTCATCACAGAACAAGCAATGAAAAATTCGGTGGTAGTGCAGCGACCTGTTTAAAATAGTTCTACTGTATATTAGTGGTGTATATGAACGCGAATGAATCGTACAAGAAAAAAAAAAAAAAAAAAAACAGGTTTTGCAGGATTTCCTCAGATGAAAAAGTTACTAGTCCGATTTCCGGACTGTCCGGACGATAGCACTATTGTAGGCGCGATGCAAGTATAGATTAGAATTTTTCAAACTTTTACAAAATATTATTATTATTTATTGTAAAATTTTGCCGCCCCCTAAAATGTGCCACCCGGGGTGGACCGCCTCTGCCGCCCCCACTACGGTACGCCACTGTATGTGGGTGATGATGCTGGAGGCAAAGATGACACGTCCTGACAACAAAACCGCTTATTGTGAATAAAGTAACTTACACAATACTAAACAACATTTCGTTTTGAAGATGGGGGTGCTTGGGCGCGATGACTGGCGATTAGAAAAGTCGCTTGACCATTGATGGTAATGGTGATGGTGATGGCCCCGGGGCAAGATGGTTGGGCAAATTTGGAGTTCCTTGGTGATGTCGTGATCTGTCATAGGGGTAATCCAGCGGGTGTGACACAGATCAAATGCCGTAGGTATTGGAGGAGAACTCTTCCTTCTTCCTTGGGAATTTTATAGATTTTTTCCTAGAATCTCACCTTTTGATTGGTCCTGTATCCCCTTCCTCGCTTCCTGATTAGTCTCCCTTTTGTTTCGAGGTAAAAACCGAGACTTGATTGGGTTAAAAAAAGTCCGTTTCATGGCATTTGTCTGACACCTTTTTGTCGACTCTGACCGGACTTTGTTGATAAAACTAAGCCATGTGCTCATAATTTAGCCCGTTGTTTCTATTTTCTGTCAATTTTCGGATTTTAATGATCGCACATGATGTTTTCTAACCGTCAAACCTTTCCCCTTTTTCGACCTTTTAACCTAGATTGATTGTTTATGAGCACCTGTCTCAGAGTTCTATCTTCCCCAGCCGACATTCCACCTGAGTCTGTTACATCATTCGTCTTCGTGTTTGTTTTAACAACTACAGGTTTTTTCCTCTCCTCTCTCTTACATAACTAACATAACCTTTGGTCCAACTCGATAATAGCACTTTCAACATGTGGAAATTAAATCTTAGTTTTGACCCATTCTGGAACCTCACACACATCACAATCCATATCACTTTCTTCTATCCAGAGATGTACAAAAATATGATTATTTTGATTAAAACTTATGACGAAGTTTATAGAACTACCAGGAACTTATAAATTTACCATGAAGTTTATAAAACTAACAAAGAGCTTTCTGTGAGCTCCCTTGAGAAGAGAGTTGCAACAGACAGTGTATCTTTACAATCAATAATGGCAACTCAATGCTTACACATGGGATCTATTCCTATGAGAAAATAGCCTGGAAGTCACCTGCCTGACTGAAAGGTATGCAGATGGTAGGAAAGACATGGACTGCCTGTCCACGTGATTAGACAGATGGTGGGCAAATAGTTCAATTTGAGCAATAAAGGGAATTTGGGGACTTTGAAAGTGTGTAAAAGGAGATTCTGGCATTTTTACGAGCATGTAAAAGAGTTCAGGAATGTTTACAAGTGTGGAAGAGAAGTTTGGGGCAAGTGTGTTGAAGAAAAGTCTGGAGGACTTGTTTGACGGAAGGCTCAGAGACTGAAAGATAAGAAGAGTTTGTGGATTATTTTCTGGTATGAGACAAATACTCTCCATTATATATATAAAAAAAGGTTAACTGGATGAAAAATATTCATTTTACAACAGACTTACGGTGTAATAAGTCTAGTAATAAAGAAAGGCCAACGTAGTGCTCACAAGTTAATAGATTTATAATTGTTACCAATTCGAAAATAGAGGGGTGCATGGATGATGAATAAAGCAATCAGCAATGTGAATCCCAGCATTTTAATAGAAGAAACAGTCAATGTGGCAAATATAAACATCTCATTCACGTTATTTACATGTAAACATTTTGATAACCTGAATTTATCATTTTAAACATTTCAATTTTTAAAAAATTATTATTATTTAAGTAAAACAGTGTCCCCATCAGCATTTTTTTATTTTTATACTTTTTACTGGTTTTTAATTTCTATCATGTTTTAATATTTATCTATTTAATATTCTGTATGAAACTAATATTTCCATTATAAAAATCACTTTAGGTGAAGGAAATAGCTTAGTCCTGCAGTGAACAAATTATAAAAAGATATAAATTTTTTATTAAGGTCATATTATATCCTCACAATATATGATGAGATCACAGAAATAGATTAATATTGTAAAATGGGAGTCTGTTACACTTTGAAGTTTGAAGAATTGAGCTCTAAAAACTTTCAATTAATGAAAGACAATTCCAAGAAAAGGTTGTAACTATTGTGGTAAATTACTGTATATTCTATTATATTTTATGCTTGAATAAATTATATTTTCAAAAATTTTTTTGAAATTATGAAAGTAATAATTAAATTTGTGCTTCTTACCTCACCTAAAGTACATTCCAGAAATCCTAAAAAATCATCATCAGAAAGTGTTTTTGTAGCATTATCAATATCATAAACAACAAGTTTTAATTTCTGAACTTCTTCAAAAAAATAATCCATTTTAACTGGTTTGCAAAAGTCAGGATTATGATTATTTTTTATCATTTCTGTTCTTCCCATCTGTAAAAGTGAAATAAGTAATTAATTATGAAAAAACTTTTTAATTTAACTATATAACTAAATATCAACTCACTTCTACAAACCGGCCTCCTTGATTTAAATAAACTGCAACCATAGGATCTGATTTAGATGCAAAATCCTGATCCATCAAATTGCGACAGCTAAAAAACAGTTCCACCTCGGTAACGCAGATTGTCTGTTGTGGTCTATTGTTTGCAAATGCAGAGAACTGAGCCATCTTTAAAAATACATTAGTGTATGATTAGTATTTATTTTTTAAATAAATATAATTTCATTTTGAGAATCTATTCAGATAAACTATTGATCTCACAATATAATTTTTCACTCAAGACATAATAATAAATCTTACTGGTTCTAAATTGATTGTTTAAAATAATAATAAATAATTGACTTATCTCTCAGCAATGCATTTAATAACATTTAAATTTAAATGAGTAGAATAAGGTGTAATCTGATAAAAATCACCAATGGTGATCAACAACACTATTATTTGAAGTACAAGAAATAAAAAAAAAAAAGGACAATAAGCCTATATTTTATACCAAACCATTATATTGGTGACATCTTGATAGTACTTGATTGTCTAATAGACATATCTTGATCCTGAGTACCTTCATTTTTTTAACTCTTTCCACCCTGTGGCACTAAGAGGATCTCTTTTCAGAAAGCCCATTATGGTTAACAACCATGAAAGGGCAACTCAACTGGATGGTGAGGAATGGGGCCCAACGTATCTGTATAAACCACCCGCAAAATATTCCTGGAGGTTTTGAACCCATTTGAATTTGATCTCAGGATTTCCCAGGCCAATAGTGCTACCTTAACCACTTAGCCATATGACTATAGTATTTTGACTGTACTATCAAAATTACTTGTTAAGATTATTTTGGTTATTGTTATTATGAGTATTTACTGCAAAGGTGTTAATATTTTCTAATTAGCAATTCTAACCGCACTAATATAATATTTTTTAATCATTTTTGAAAAGGACAGTGATATTACCTAAGCCTTTTTAGTTAAAATCTTGGAACAGTCAGAAGTCTTGCATAAACTCGACAGAAATAAAACAGAATCATCATTTGATCCTTTCTTTTATGAAATGTCGACCTTTTTCAAACACAAATAATCCTTTGGTTATTGAGAAATAATTCTCTTCCAATTTTAGATGCATGAATCTTGAACAATGAGAGTATGGTCACTTAATTAGTGCAACAGAAGGACAAAACTTCATTAAAAAAAAGATGAAAAAATAATTTGGTCTGATTTCTGTCAAGTTTATGCAAGACTTCTGAGTATTCAAAGATTTTAATTAAAAGGATTATGAGAGACTGTTCAGAAATGTATTTCATGGATTTGGATCAGCCTTGCATGGTTCTGGAGCACTAAAAAATATTCTCTGTAAAGCCAACGTTCCACATCCGTGCTTTAATAAAAGAAAAAAAAAAAACCTGCAATTTTAGGTTATGACAACAGATCACTTTCAGATCCAGGGAATTGGTAGATATTCATAAAACAAGTCATTTTCATGTAAAATATATGAAAATGACTTATGACTATCTACCAATTCCCTGGGTCCGAAAATGATGTCATCATTCATTACCTAAAATTGCAATTCTCTTGATATTGGACATATATTATTCAAAACAGATAATTTTTGAAAAAATTAACCAGTTTTTGATTTCAACCAAAACTTTAAATACCTCGAACATTTGATAGTCAGCAAGTGGCAGTTTTGCAGGACGTAAAGCATTCACCTATAGATTCTATACACAGATTCTGATTGCATGGTTATTCCTTTACAAAAATGATTTTAAAATATCATATTAGAATGTTACATTGCTCATTACTAAAGACAGGAAAATGTGCAAGAAAACCAAGAACATAAATTTATGCACAGATTTTTTTTCTAAAATATGCACACAAAAATACAAATGTATGAAGAAATTCATTTTATTTGAAATAAGTTAGAAATTGCAAATAATAATAAAATACTTCTAAAAATTCTAAAAAATATTTATTACTTACATGTATACATATTACAATTAATTACAAAATTTATAACATATTTTTGATAAACGTTAAGTTGTGATACTAGATTTAATTTTTAAATACAATAAAACAATCAATTATTTATTGTGACATCATCACAATGCCGGGCTACAATTTTTAATCATATTTTTAATTTATTTAATTTAAAATATATGCTCTTTACCTCAAATTAGTAGTGGCTTTCCCCTGTACATCATACTTTTCTTTTAACATGCCAGTCATCTATTAACTGCTTTCAAGGGAAAAGTTTTGAATTGAAATAACATGACTTCTGGTTTGTATTGGAAGTTAATATATAGTTAATTGGGACCTCCTACCCCTAACGTTTCCATATCTGGTCTTGTCTTTCATCTATCTAACGTCACTCTAGAGATTAAGGAAAGACAGACAAACAGACAACAGTGGAAATTTATAAGTCTACAATTTTTTCAAATTGCAGCCTAATAAAATAACAGATTACAACTTATTCCAAAAACAATTAATGAAAAATATTTTTCAAAATTTTCCTTATAAAAATTTATGTCTTCTATCTTGTAAATACATGTTTAAAAAGCTGGCATGGCTGATATAAAATTTAAACAACAAAAAAAGCTTAAAAGGAATAATTTTATTGAATTATGATAAATTTCTCTATTTAAAAAAAATATTTAAATTTAAAAACACTAAAAACACAATAGCTCAAAGTTAAAATTATATGTACTGCTATCTGTTATGAGATTTTAATAAAACATAATTTTAATATTATGAATTTAGTGTCGAGATGAGTTTTTTAAAATATTGTGAATGCCAATAATGGGTAACATTTCATTAAGTCCAACCCAAGTTGTGATATGACAGATGCCCCCTCTATCTCTCCACCCTCTTGACCTTTAATTGTCAAAATTTAATAGCATCAATCCTGAGATATAATGCAAAATACACACACACACACAGTTTTTTTGTAAGGTTTTTTTTTTATATTTTTGGTCTTTCTGTCAAAACAACAAGAAATGCAAAAAAAAAAAAAAAAACCTGGGGTTGGTCAAATTTGACCAATCATTGTACTTTCCCTACATTATATTCTACATATAACAGCAAGGAAAGAAAAAACTTGAAAAACTTTCAACATCTACAGATTGATGCAGCTTGATGTGTTTTTCAGCTTGAGTAATGTGTGCTTTTATATTTAAATATTCTATAATTTTCTTTGAACAGCATTACTTAATATGTGACATCCCTTTTTTTCTTAATTACAGAACAAAGTTTTTGCATCATACAGTAACAGCACCTACCGGACTTTAAATCTTATTGCAAGATTCTTCAAAATTATTTATTACGTAAATAGATTCTAGAATTAGTATATCTTATGTTTCTAATTTTAAGGTTCTAATCGTTACAAAACTCTAATTGCATTTAATCAATTCCAACTGTCGAGGCAATTCTGAAGAATACAGTTATTTGCATTTCTGTATAAAAATGGTAGTATTCCAGCAAAATTTTTATTTAATATTTTTACCAGATAATAAAGAACACCTTTAAATTATATCCTCACAAACACAAGGAAATCCAGCAAAAAATAATTTAATTATATAAACAAATGTTTTCAACAATCTTGAAAATGTTCACCTTCATGCACAAATAAAGAAGGTTTATTCTTTTGAACCAATAGAACTAATTCAATCTAATTTCATCCAGAAGTTAAATCGGTACAATACGGCAATCCACTTTGTCTTAACAGCCCGAAGGTGTCCGTCTAACGCGGGCAAAAACGTCAGCCGCGTTACATTTTTGTGCCGACGCGGGTTTATTTCACCTCGTTTATTAAATAAAACAGTTTCGAACGGTCGTATCAGTCCTTAACAGATTATAGTCACAATAGACTAAACGTTAATCAAATAATATTTAAACGACTAGAAGCATTAATTAATTGCCTTCTTCGGGTAGAAGAATAAATATAAAAGATTTCAACATTTGTAATTTATCTTTGTTGAAAACGTTTGTTTATATAATTAAACTTTATTTTTTTCCTGGTGTTTATGAAGGTATATAATCTATCTCACCCATTTATTAAAGGGCATTGCTTGAAAACGTTTAGAATAAAATAAATTATTATAAAAGCATTTTAAATGTATTACAAACGAAAAAAAAAAACGAACATGATAGATTTGTATAACAGTAGGAAAGACATAATTACTCAATTTCACAACTCATCTTTCACGTAGTGAAAACGATAACTTTCAATTACATTCAAAATTAGGTCAAAGTCTACCTAGTAGTCCCTGCGCTGCCGCCTAACCTAACCTAATTGGGACTACCTAGGTAGAATTTAACCCAAAATTATTCACTCAAATTACGAATGAACTTACATTAATAATGTAAATAATCCTGTTCAAGTATTAAAATTTGCTAAATTTTAACATTATTATAATTAATTATTATTTTACTACTTACAAAAGTACTTCATTTGGAGGTATTAATGTATAAAATAAAAAAATAATTTAAATGTAATATTCACCTTCCCTCGCCAATTCAAAATAGCTTTCGCGTAAAACACGTGACCGACTTTTATTTTCTTTTGTTTATTTTTAAATGTCGTTTGTATTAAATATGCATATTATGAGTTACTAATGCAAAATTAATAACTAGAATAGCGATTTAAGTTTTAATATATCGTAAACGCAATAAATATATGATGAATTGTGATACCCACTCGGAGAATCCGGCGAGCAACCAAGAATTTTTCGGCCGGTAATCTGTTCCGGATTCGTTGGCCCATTGGCCAATCTGAATTAGGGGGCACCGGGCACCATATACAGTGTTGACTTCGGGGGAAATTTTTTCTTATTAAAGATTCCCGTCGGTGGAATTGCTTTCTTTTACCCGTAGGATAATGCGCCACTGTGTTGACCCCGTCCATCTTCTCGGAGGTCGCTATTGTGGGCCTGGCCGAACCGCAATGCTTATGAAAAAACAAATTTATGCCCTATTGCACTTGAAAGGACGGAGTAAAAAATAATTTTAAATAAAATATTACGCGTGTTTATAGTAAACTTTCTGGATATTTAGTTGATTTATTTCTTTTTAAACCGTCTTGTTTCGTTTTGTGCTCATTCGCAATGTCGCGGAAAAGTATTGTTGCAAACAACAATTTGATAATTATAACTAAAGAAGCCTATGCAACACAATGATAATTTGGTAATTATAATTACTGTAAAGAGGTTCGTGCGATGTAAGATATGAATTTTAATTAGTTAGGCCTGATTGTATTTGATAAGTGTATAAAATTTAGGCAATATTGCGGGCTCGTTAGTCAGGTCGAGGAACACCTAGACGACTTAAGTATTAATTATATTCTCTTCGTTACACCGAAAATTTACACGCGATATGAGATTGTAACAAACGTAGAGGTCGGCGTGTACATCGCAAGGGACGAGCCAAAAAAGAATAGTTCGCATTTCTGTGTCTCCTAATTTATAGCTCCCGGAAATAGGTTTTGCTTTCGGGAACCATAAATTATAGTATCGAGAGGGGACACAACGTGCCGCCGCCAACATCATTATAAACAATGATTTCTTTTGTTCTTAAATTTGACTTGATGTTGCCTAAATTTTTACAATAACTTTCATAATTTACAATGACACCATTTTAGAAAGTATACTTGTTAAATACAATTTGCATTATTAATTATGTAATTTGTGATCATTTTAAGATGACAAATAAAGCAGATAGAGGAAATGGCGACAGGCTCCACACTGGACAGAAGATCCCGCCCCTGAAGACCTCAAACAAGTCGTACAAAAGATGCGCCTGGTGCAAGAAGAAGACCGGACTGGCAACCAGCTTCATTTGCAGGTGCGGAAAGAACTTCTGCACCAAGCACAGATATGCCGAACTACACGACTGTTCCTACGACTACAAGACGGAGGGAAGGCGGATCCTGAAGCAGTCGAACCCGGTGATCAGGGCCCCAAAATTACCTAAAATTTAAATACTAAGCCATGATTTTTTATATCGTTTATTATTAGAGAAAGCAAACCAAAATTTTTTATATGCATGTATCTAAGAAAACATCTTAACTTTCCAGAAATTTTTTCTTCCTTTTTGTAATGCACCAAAGAAAATTTAAACATACAAAAACTACGTGTAGCTCATCTTTGCAAGTTCACGAATTTCAAAATGTCAAAATTTGTAAAATAAATTCATTTTTAACTAATTATTTCTTCTTTTGATTTTCTAATTAATCTGATGTGAAAAAGTTAAATCTCGTCTTCCATGGTATAGATGACTTCTGTCAATTTGAAACTAAGATTTTTAATAGTAGACTATTTAATTTTTATCGAGTCCTTGACAGGTTCTAGATTTATGGTTAGGAGCATAAAAGACATAAAAGACAATTGTGAATTTGTTAATTATGCATATAAACTAAATTAGGGAGGGTGAACCTCAGTGGCGCATCGTATCTTAATTAATGAGCCCAGACAAATTTGAATCAGAAGCCCCGTGTAGTGTTGACTTCAGACACTTTTCTTCGGGGAAATTTTTTTGGGAGAAATTCCCTGTATTCTCATTCTTTTTTTTAACGTGCCCTCAGGAGAGTGTTCTGTTCTGCGCCTGTGCCACACCAGCAATCCGGTGTCTCCCAACATGGCACTAAATTTTGACATTCTTACTGCAGTAATGAGTTTATAAAAAATTGTTTTGGCAATTGACCTTTTTGTCCATACGATCAAAGCGCTACTGGCAAACCTTGGCCCATGTACCCAAAGTGGCACATTGAGAGATATTATCTGGTGCGCAACATATTATATGATGGTTTTTATTAACGGTAAAAAATAACCATAAATTAGGATATACTGAACTGACTTTAAAAGCATAAATTGCAGTTTATCATTATCATCATTTTCTCAGTTTCTTTCCATTTATTCTAACTAAAGGATATTCATTTAACTTTTTTAAAGATGTCTAAAAATAGTTATTCGAATGCCTAATTAAGATAATTAGGCATTATCTTAAGTTATGCCTAAAGATAATTAGCTTACTACAAGGCCACGGTGGCCAAACTGCAGCTCTTCTAGACCCTTATTGCTGCTCCTATCCCCAACCCCTAATATATACTACTAGAAATTCCCCCATCAAACATGACGGAATACTTTTTATGAGAAAGTAGAGATTGAAGAATTGAGAAGAGTACAGATTTCATGAAATTTAAGAGTTGTTAGTTTAGTATAAACTACTTAATTTGTCGAAATATTATCTGTTGTAACGTAAAGAGCAACAAAACAAAATTTGCAGGTGTTATAAGGAATTCACACACACGCACAGAGACGACGGTTTTTATATTAGTAATATATAACTTATATACAGTAATAGGTTATATATAAAATACTGTTCCAACAGAAAATGCAGGCACGTATTTCTAATGAACGGTATAAGGCTTATATCGTGACAAGATTTGGCCACTCCTGCTACATAGTAATACAAATTCAAAAAGATTTGCCATCGTTTCCGATCTATAAAGAGCAAAATAGAACAGTTATGTAACATTCCATATAAATTCAGTTAGAGAAAAATGTTTGATTAGTCGACAAAGCAGATTATTCCTGCAAAGTGAATATAAAATATAATTATTCATTTACATTTTGTTTTGTTTGATCCTCACATTGCGATTCTTAACATTATTCCAGTGTCATAAATAGGATTTATCTTTCTAATTAACTCTTAAATTGTCTACTTTAACAACATATTTTCTAGTAAATTCACTGCTTTAATGTCATAACTAACAAGTAATAGTTTTATATTAAGTGGAAACAAGTCATATCGAATAAAATATAATTCAGAATACCTTTTTGGGAGGAACAATATCAAATAGCAAAAGTCTTATTTAAAACAATCCAGCAGCGAGTTGCGTAACTTTCCCGGAAAAAATAGAAACACAGAAACAAAGTAGAAAAGTGTAAAAGGCACCATCGCACAACAGATTATAAGATTTTATTTTAAAAATTAATGTTTTATATTACTATTACAAAAAACAAAAGGCTTAGTTTTGAGGTAGTGATGAGTTTTTAAAAATATTGTAAAAGCCAAGAAGGAGTAGAATTTTCATTAAGTCTGACCCCACCCACAATATAATGACACGCAATCTCCTCTATCTCCCCATTCTTTCAAATTTTAACAATCAAAATTTAATATCATCAATGCCTCATATACAAGTTACCACGTCAAATTTTACTTCTTAAATCTTTACTCCATTCAGAGATACTGAACAAATTAATACTAACATTCCCGCATGGAATTTTTTGACTTTTCGGGTTCGGGGATTCTCAAAATGTTGAGGTTTGCAAAAATCCCAGGTCAAATTTGACACGATTCCAATAGTTTCTCGTGTTATGTATACGTAATAGCCGAGAAAGTAAAACAATATTACACATCACACATAATAAATTTAATTAAGGCAGAAAATAAGATTTTTCTGCATTCATTTTTTTTTAAATTTATATGTAGCAGAATCAAAAATAAACTGACCTTTTGATATTGCCTAGTGTGACTAATTGCAAACACGCATACATTTGAACATTTTCTTAAACAAAAGCAAACAGTTCGGTAAATATAATAATGATCAACCAATAACATTAATGGTTTAGGAATCATTGATAGACTCTCCGTGTATATGTAATAATTTGTAAATATGCAGTTTGTGGAGAATATAAAATTGTTTCATCATGCATGTTGCTACAGATCTCAAATTTCACAAATTTGCAATCATTAAGAATCATTTATTTTTGTCAATTATCTGTTCTAATCCGAATCGTAAATTTCTAATGCAAAAATGATTGTTTTAATTCCTTTTAGAAAATATTATTATAATAAAATTGCTATTTATTGTATATAATCATTTGAATATTTTCGACCATTTTTAATGTTCGATAGAGAAATTGGTTTATAAAGAATTGTACTATTCTGTTGACTGCCTTAACACAAAACATCTGTGAAAATAGAGGAAACGAGATGACCAATGAACTCGAATTCATTAAGATTTAGACGGGATATTAATGTATATACGTATGTAATATATAAACTATAGCGGGGAATAAGAGATTTATAGTAGGCTATTTATTAAATTTCATTTTGCTTTAACAATTCCATTGGAAAATTAACAATGAAAAGATGCGATTCCTCCGATCGATTCTTATGGAAAACCACCGCCGCCAATTGTAATACTGTATTTTACTTATGAAAGTTAAAAAGTATTTAAATCTAGAAAGATCGTAGTCTAAACTTACATTACTTAAAGGAACACTGCAAACGAAGCAAAACTCGAAAAGGCACTGGCATTAAACAATCGCGCGAGTCAACTATAGATCCTCTCTCGACAACGAGAAAATTTTACTGCTATGTAAATTTTGGATTTTGCGGCTAATTTCGTCATTTTCGTGCCTCTGCATTTCTAAGGAAAGCGATTTTCACGGATCATTGCACGAGATTGTCTCCAGCCTTTCACTTGTCCTCACCTACACCAGTCATAATCAATTAACATAGACTTAGGATATGCTCCAACACTATCGCGAAATAAGGCAATAGTATGAGAAAAGATAGAAAACGGGATTAGAATTAGAAGGAACGACGGTTGAATCTTGCAATACAAAATTATAATTTGAATTTTTATAATTCTTGAAAGTTATAAAATTAATATTTGTTTTACGTCCAGTTATGTTCCCCATTGTTTAATGTTTTACTAGAAAGATTTTTAAACCTCTAACCATGTAAGAGCTAAAGAAGTAAAGCATCCAAAACTTTTGTTGGATGCTTTACTTGGTGCACTGATGAAAGTGTTTGCTTGTATATGTTATGGGTCTTTACGAATAATGAGAAAAACGGTGCCCCAGTCTGATAAATATGGATTCGTTTATTAAAAGTGAGAAGTTGTTATGAACAAACACTTTGGCCATTTCGATTTTAAAAGAACTTTACTTCATTAAGAATTATTTATTTTTGTGAACTATCATAGACCTATTATTAGGCCTAGTGTAGTGTTATTAAAGTGCCAACTTTGACCCTTAATGTTAGCAACTCGATCACATGTGGAATCATCACAACTCTAACATGGATCACTTTTCAAATATTAATAGTAGATCGGTATTAATTAGTAGTGGTTGGCCGTCCTCTTCAGGGAGGAGGTCAACGATTACTTTTGCTCAAATAACTTCTTTTTTTCAGTAGATGGTGGTTCGTATGGAGTCTTATGGCTATACACCTTTACTCCGAGAGACTGGTGGATGATCGCTATGCGACCGAAGAGAATCTCATGTTAAAAAAATATTGCATGGAAAACAAAGTCAAGACATTTATAGTCATTATGAACAAACACTTTGGCCATTTTGGTTTTCAAAAAACTTTACTTTATTAAAAAAAAGTTTAAATTAAATGCTCATTGCCAATAAAGGCTCATTCAAACTGTTGTTGGTTTTGAGCAATTCGTCCAAATACATTTATTACTGATGCACATCATAGTCTAGGTACAATCATTTCTAATTGTTTTTAAATTGCAACTGTAAGATGCCATTAATTCAAAAACAGGCTTCAGCTTTGGAAGAGTAAAAAAGTGCATCTAGAATTGAGGAAATATGGTATTTAACAATAGACGGTCATATGAACAAAACAGTAGAGGCATCAGTCTGCTGTTCTGGAGGTCAATGGTCAACTCAGAAATTTTCGTGAATGAATTAACACAGATACATCATGCTCTGTCCTTCAAATTTATCAAATTTCAAATATGTGGCTATAAAACAAAAATAATTTATGTTGAACTGCAAGGAGCTTAATTTTGGAACCTGGCTGCCCCATTAAAATAAGCCTTCTTACTGTTTGTAGGGTGGAAAGTGTTTAAAAATGATATTTAATACTAGAAACTGATTTTTTTTTTTGTTTTTATTAACAAATGGGATTTACATTTTTTATCATCTTAATATCACATTTAACAAAAAAAAAATGATAAACTTTTTATTTTAATTTAAAAACAGATAAAGATTTTAAAATTCAACATACATTTTTTATAACTGATTGCATTATATCATTTTCTTTTTATAATTTAATTCTGATAATATGTGTAATTCTGTTTGGCACTGTACAAGTAATTGAGATAAATCATGATATAGAAGATGATTGGTTCCGTGGGTGATCTTTAATATTTCTTCTGCCTAAAAATAAAATAATTACTGATATAAATTACAGTTTTATAAAATTAAACATACAATTAATTTAAATAAGCTGATTAATATTTTCTAAAATACAAAACAAAAAGCTTAAAATTTGCTCATTAATCATCCCTTCCAATTTTGAAATTATGGTAATTCTAAAGATATGAAATGTTTTAATATTTAATACTGTTAAATATGTTTAATATGTTTAATTATACTTACTTAGTTACTTACAAATTCAACAAGTAACTTTAATTATACTAATTTAATTTGTAAGAACTAACATATAACAGAAAAAAATTGCAACTTCCTCACATTTTCCAGCAGTAACTGTTAATAAATGTTTTCTGCCACATTCAGGGGTCTTCATCAGGTTAAGCATATACCAAGGTTTGATTTAGAGTATGCTTAACCTAATGTAATCCCCAATGTGGCCAAAAATGCTTATTAAACAACTACTGCTGGAAAGTGTGAAGGTGGTGTGATTTTTCTGTGTTAATGTTTTATTTTATTGTTATAGGGATATTTTAAATTATGTTTAATTAAATATTTTGAAAATTTGAAAATAATGTAATTTATTATATAAAAATAACTCATACAGTTCAGATATTAATCAGAAAAGATAATGTTTATCAACTGTCTTCTAATAACTGTAATTGTAACTAACTTTGGTACATCCCTCAACAAAAAAATCTTGAATTCCAGCAATAAGTTTTAATAAAAATGTAAAACTTGAATCAATAAAAGTTTAATTTTATGTTTTTATTAAAACTTTTACTTGAATTTCAAGGTTTTTTTTTGGTTGAGCAATGTGACAATGGTTACCATCAAACCAACAATCTTTAACAACAGCATAAATGAGATTAAATCTGCATTCAGTGGGATATTTATGGAGTAATTCATTACAAACTGCTAAATGAAAATAAAACTATATTAGCATCTATTCCCTGTCAACAAATGGTCACAAGCAAGAATGAAAAAAAAAATAAAAGCTACTGAAAAGTAGGTGTGGCTACAATTTTATGTCAAGAAATGACAATTCAAAATGTGCACACAGTGTATCAGACTGATCAGATGTGCATGACAAAAGGTTAATTAATGTAAGTTTTGTTCTTCAAAATTTTTAAAAAAAATATATTACTTATCAAATGACTCAATACATCAAAAGTATAATTTAATTTTTCATTGTTAATCAAAAGTTAAATTATAATTTGTTTAATAATTAAATTTTATTTACAAAACAGCTTCTTTACATATCTCCAGAGATAAATTCATTTAAATCTGTATTTTTATTTATTATTATACTGAAACAATTTTATCCAAATAAAATAAGCATAAACTTTAATATAAATTTTATAATTCACTAAACAAAATAAACAACATTATGTGAAATACTTTTTGTTTTAACAATATTTGATTATTTTAGGAAATTAATGAGCAAATTTAAGATGAAAAGTAATACAGATAACCCTTGATATATGCAGTTAATTGGTTCTGCAAATATACTGCATACCAGGTATGGACCAAAACTGCACATGTCAAAGTTAACAATCAGTTGGAAGTAAGTTAAGTTAATTTGTGAATTAGCTGATTAACAATTCATCTAAAATCATAATTTTTACATTTATATTTGCTTGGGTGAAGTAAAAACATAGGAAATAAAGAAACGTTTATTGAAGAATTATTAATTAATTAAAGATTTTAGATGAAGTGCAGTATAGTTACATATGAAAATGAAAACAAATCATAGAAAATAATATTAAAGTTTGATTATAGAGAGTTTAGACTAACCACTAAAAGTAGCAAAAAAAAAAAACTACTATATGAAGTAAGAAAATTTTAAAATTCAAGTAAAATATTTATCATTTCCTTCACAGTTGTTATTTTCTTTTTTTCATAGAGTTTCATGTAAAAACTGAAGAATTAAAACAAAATATTTGAAGAAATTATGATGAATGTGAAAATAGAAATTAAACTGTCTGAATAAGAGTATTGCACTAGGAAAACTAAAGTTTGCTTTTTCCTACTAAAAGCAAGCAGGATTCAGGACCTGCAAGAGGGTATTTTTCCCTGGGTCTGGAGAAAATTCAGAGACCCATAGTTGTTTCTATTCCTATAAATTAATGTTATTTTTACTAACAAAAAAATAAAATCTTAAAATTGTTATTTATTAATAAAGAAACACTATTCATTTCATTTGTTCAAAAAATAAAAGGGGGAAACCTTCATAGTGAAGAGAAGGGATCAGTTCAGTGTTACCAGCTATGAGCTCTGTCAAGCTGGCAATGTGAACTTCATGTAGAACATAATTGAAACTAGTACTGATAAAAACTGCATATATCAAATTTTACTCTACTGTTATAACATTTGAAAATAAGAATCATTACAATTTCAGATAACAATAAAATTTCCATTACTTTTCTAATGAGCTACAATTATAACTTTTCATATCAGTTAAAATTGTTTAAATTATTAAAAAGTTAAATCAAAACAACACACTAACACATTATATTTGCATTAAGAAATATTGTTATACTCGTATTGTTAATACCTTTCTAAGAGTCTTATTAGCATCTTTTATCTTTTCTAAATATAACTGTATTTTCCCAATTCTAAACAGCTGTATTCCTAGACAAGGATGACAATCGCTGTAATAATACCTTTAAAAATAGCAATATTTTTAAACAGTTATAAAATAAAATTATTAATATAAAATATTGACTAAATATTAATGAATATATAATAAACAAATATACCACTGTAATTTTATAATTTTATATGGCTAATCCATAGTAACATATAACCCATAATAGTTTATATCCCATAGAAAATTGCAAATGCATATTAAATTATAATCAAAAGATATTCAAAAAATTAAACTGACATGAAAAAGTTTTATTTAAATTATAAAAAAGTATTAAAAATAACTGACAACTAAAAATTCTTGTATTCTAACAAATGACTATAGCACACACAATACTAAATACTACAGTCCAGAGATGGCAAATCTATGGTACACAACATCACAAGATTTCATTTATTTTTTTCTGTATAATATTCAGAATAATGATTATTAATCATTAATACTTTGATGAGTATTCCTGTAAATATACATGATATATATGGTGGGCTCTACAAAGTAAGCATGTATATATGTTATGGACAAAGTGATTAATTAATTGGGCATTATGAATAATGACCAAATAGGGCAGGCAGTGTGATAAATATTAATTATTTTGTCAAATTGACCGGTCATTATGAATACTGCTATCACCTAGTCGAGCAAAGTGATAATAATAAGTTGAGGAGTGATCATCCGACATACGCTAGCCAATTGGCACTCTGAGTTGCGTGTGCATATCGTGTTTAGTACAGAATTTTAAATTTGATTAAAAAAAACTCCACTTATTTCATTTAGAAATATTTATTTTTTGTAAATTATATCAAACTACTATTAACTATATTAATTAAATTAATATTACCGAAAAGTATTATTAACAATTTTTGGTATAAATTATATAAAAAATTAAATGTTTTTTAGTTTATTTATTTGAGCAATTAAGATTTTCATGACATTTGGAATTACATAATTTTTTTTTCTTTGGTAGCATTTGCATCTATTAGATTTTCAACCAATTTTTCAGCAGCAACAACTATAGTTGTGGCCTTCAGAAATTGATGACATTCTTGCACATTCTCTAAGCGAAATTTCTGCACCTGATACATCTCCAACAGAAATGAAGTTTTCTTTACAAACAGTAAATTGGTTTCTGGAATATAATAGATTTAATATGCCGTATTTGGTACCCAGTTTGTAAAGGTTTTTATCTTTAACCGCAACGACACCTAAAATATTTTTTCCATCACTGCGAGCTCGATCTACATCAGGTACACGAATCCTTACTGTATCACCAACATTAGGTGCTGTGTATTTGGAATTTGATGTATTAATCATTTTTTCTGCTTGCTTTTTAAGATTTTCTGCTTGCTTGCATCTCCCTTGTTTTAGACACACTTCTTTTATTTTTGGATCAATTGTTTGGATTGTTTCTTCTTCATTCACCAATTCTGTAATAATAATAACATCCTGGTTTAGATTTTTTTCACGTGAAGACAATGTAGATCTTTGAACTTCATCAGTTATATTGCTATGTAAGGGTGGCATTATCAAATAATCTTTCATAATGTTTTCTTGGACAGTACCTGGACTTTCAGAGTTTGAGCAACTTTGACTTACTTCGTCGATAGTTTTATAAAGTCTCTGTAGATCCTCTTCCATATTAACGTTGATCAACGATTCGTTGGGTATAAAATTCTTTAGTCCAACTTTTAACTTTGCTCCAAACATGGCCTCATAGGGGCTGCAGTTTATACCAGTATGATGCGTTCGATTTTTCATCAGTTGTACAAAACGTAATCCTTCCGACCATTTGTTAGTATTGTTAGTCTCCAACCAAGAACTAAGCATATTTTCTACGTCTTGATTACATCTTTCTACTGAACCCTGACTTTGTGAGTGCCTGGGCTTTCCATGCACCATTTTTAACTCGGACCACATATTACACATTTCTTTGATGATATTATTGGCAAATTCTCTGCTGTTATCGCTTTGTAGAATACTCGGTGCACTGAAAATTGTAAAAATGTCTAAAAGAACATATGCTACTTCTTCAGCCCTTTTGGTTTTTAATGGTAGTAGTTGAATGAACTTAATTAGATGATCTTGATACATGAGTATAAATTTATATTCCTTATTGGCTTGTGACTGCATATCTATAAGATCGATCAATTTGCTGACGATCACGCCAAAATATTATATTGTAAAAAAGGAAAGGCACTGAGGTCGGCGTTATGTGTGCGTTTTTTTATTTGCTAGTACTTTCGACGAACATATAGCCGTCGTCATCAGGCGAATTATCAAAAGAATTAAACGGAAATAATCCGATTTGGAATAGAACGCTTAAATTTAAGATGAAACTTTAGTAAAATTCGTTAGGAACCCGATAGAAATATTCAAAAATGTTCGAAAAACGAACGAGCAGAAAGCTCCATGATGTGCGAATACGCGCATGCGCAGATCTAGACACACACTGTACACATTCTGGAGAATGCTAATTTTTACTTAATTGCTTGTATAGTGTGACCCATACACTGGGCAGCTCGAGAGTTGGAATGTTGGTGGTAGTAAGAAGAGACTCCCATATAAATACGATTTTTCGATCCTTACAGCTCTTGAGCATAACCGCTTGGGACCATAGCGGGTTGTAACCCTGCTCAAGTACTTTTCTTGCGAGCTCGGTGGTGTGTCTACCCCTCGCAACATCGTTTTGGTGCTCTTCTAGTCGGCTGGCAAGCATTCTAGTAGTGGCCCCGACATATCTTGCATTTACTCCCGTTGTAAGGTTTTCCAGAGGTACAGCATAGACCCCCGACTTCTCAAGCGTGTAAAATTTGTCCCTATCATTACAAATGAGTTTGCGTAGGTTTGGAAGTGGGGTTAGTGGTAGTATAAGGCCGTGCTGCTTAAAGATTCTGCAGATACGTATAGAGAGGGGTCCCAGGTATGGCAACGACGTTTGTACCATTGAAAATTCTCTTTTGCTGCATAATGTGGTACTTGGAAACAGTGATTTCTTTACCATATTGAGCACGTGCGTAAATTTTGCACGTGAAAAGCCAGCAGTGCGTACCCCCAAACTTATGTTGTCTAACTCCATGTTTACCAGCTCTTGCGAAGATGATAGTAAGTAAGCCCTTCTAACGAGAGAGGCAATGGCAGCATTGACATATCGAGAAGGCTGAAAAGCCTCTGCTGGTATAATATGTGGAGCTATGCTGGACTTGTGATGAACCGAGAATTGTAGTCCTTCCGAAGATTTACTTATATGCATGTCTAAGAACGTTATTGCCGCATCGCTTTCTTTTTCCCAAGAGAAATTGATGGAAGGATATATGCTTGACAGTTGCTGCATAAATAAAGTACTAGCGAATAAAAAAAAAAAAAAACGCACACATAACGCCGACCTCAGTGCCTTTCCTTTTTTACAACATCTATAAGATCGATCTGACATCTCAAGTTCATTTTATTACATAAAATTGGTTTAACTACCAAGTTTTTCTTAGGAACATTCTTTTTTTCTGACAGATTTCACACAAGTTCAAATAAATTATGATCATCTCCCTTGTAATATTTTTATATTTCGTACTTAATTCTTTTTCCATACGGTATCTACCTCCATGTTTAATAGCAATATGGGCATCATGCAATATCTGAAATATTTCTTTTGTGTGAACGTAATATTTAATCGCATTACCTTCTTTTATAGGCATAATTAATTTTTCTAAATTTCCGATAGATACAACGTCATATCTACGTAAACGCTGATATTCTTCTGGTATCATAGAAGTAACTTTCATTTTTGACTCTCACTTTTTGTATCATTGACAAATATGCTGATTTTGTAAAAATTTGATTGTTGTCACCCTTTTCTGCTATTAACTCGTTTAATTGGTTGTTGAAGTGATTATTCATATCACTTAATGATTCCTCCATGATCGTTACTTTTGTCATAGAAGAAAGATTAACTACTGGTCACATAAATTTAAAATTTGGTACTAAATGCAATATGCATGAGCAAGCGAGATGTAAGTTCTGATTGGCTAACATATGTCGGATGATCACTCCTCAACGTATTATTATCACTTTGATAATAATATGTTGAGGATTATTCATAATGACCGTTCAATTTGATAAATTATTGAAATTTATTACAATGCCCGATTTTGTTGGTCATTATTCATAATGCCCGTATTAATCACTTTGTCCATAACATATATATAGGTCTTTCAAATTTGTCATATTGTAGTGCATGCATATATTTATGGGCAAATGTAAAACTTTACAGTCAACTAGTAACACCTATTGATAGATCTAGAATATTTTTTTCCATGTTATTTTTTTTGCTAGTTTTGCAAGATTTAGCATAATATTTTCTAGCATAAAGACAAACATAGCATCTAGTAGTCATTCATACTCGCTTTCTCCTTCTGAATTGCTGGAGTTATTCAACACAATTGAATCAAAAGAAGAAAATACTGCCTAATTATTTAACATACCATAAAATGAATTAAAAGGAGATATCAATTTTTTTCTTAAATCTTATATTTTTCAAAACTAACTAACTCTCTTAGACTAAAAACAATAAACTGATAATTTTTCAAACATCTTTCTAAAAACCACATCACAAGTCAAGTTCACAAATAATCACATCAACATGTACAGTCAAACCTCGAGTTACAAACAAAATTTTGAATGCCATATTTGCTTCGGTTTCTGTATGATAACTCGGTTTCCAAACAAGCTACTCGACAAGATAATGAATTCCCTATACGTCACGTGTTAAAAAAAGTCAACATCCCAACCAATCAACAAGAGTACTACTGTTTCAGAAATTAGTGGCATAGAGATCATCTCGTATCACTTAATGAATCACTGATGACTTTGCTATTTAAATTATATTTTAATGTTCATGAGAGAAAGATACTATTTTCGTTTTTCTGTACACACAACAGTTGAATTTAAATCAAATTAATTAATAAAAACTGCATTAATTGAAATTCACATAATACAAATGACATTCAAGAATTCATGTTTAAATATTCTTAAGTTAAATTAAATGACAAAAATTTATTGATCTAATATTATACGTGGTATGATCCAAAAGTTCGGGGACTGCAGTAATCTATGATAACAAAAGCATGTATTTGAAGTTACAGTGTATGAAATGGATTCTATCAAACCACTCCTATGTGTTCAGGTTTGTTTCGCCCATGTCACGTAATTAAACCGCAAGTGCTGCTGTTTTCTTCCAGAGATAGTTACCTTTGTTCTGTGACGTAATAAAAATGAAGTTTCAAGAACAGCGCTGCAACATTAAATTTTGTCAGCGTTTAGGTAAAACACCTACAGAGACTAAAATTGTTAAGAAAGGTGTACAGTGATTCTACCATGGCAAAATCGAAGGTGTACGAATGGCATCGGCGTTTTAAAACGGGATAAGAATCCATCGCAGACGATGAACACTCTGGCCAACCTTCGACTTCACAGAACAAGGAAAATGTTGAGTTAGTCTGTCAATATGTTCGCAAAGATCGTCACCAAACTCTTGAAAAAAATGCTGTGGCTACTCACTTATCAAAGACTAGTTGCCAGCATATTTTAACAGAAGATCTTAACATGCACCAAGTGTCTCAGCACATTGTCCCTCGACTTTTGACTTCTGAACAAAAGGAAGAACGAATGAGAATATCGGGTGATTTAATCGACAAAGCCAATAAGGATTCATCATTTTTTAACCACATCATAACAGGTGATGAAACGTGGTGTTATTTATTTAATGCCGTTTTGTGTCATCAGATGAGGTGAGAGCAGCATCGCAGGAGGCCTTACGGGAGGTTTCAAAAAATGGCTTCCAGCAGGGCTTCCAGAAGTTATACGACCACTGGAAAAAGTGTATTGTCGCCCAAGGTGATTAGTTTGAAGGTGGTTGTGCATTGGCAATATAAACTTTTTAGGGTAAGGAATTTTATGCCAAGTCACCGAACTTTTGGATAATACTACGTATATTATAATATTAATATTTATTAATA